CAAACGTATTTCTACAACTAAAACCACAAGTGTTCAATTGAATTTATGAATCATGATTTGTCAGACCAGACAACCTTTTTCCATTCCTCAATGGTGAAATTTTGATGCATCAGCATCAAAATTTGACCATCGAGGAATGGACCTGGATGCCGATGCATCAAAATTTGACCGATGTTTATCACTAACATTGCAAGCACTGTTAGTGATAAACATTGTTAAGAGAGGTAGAAGACTAGATCTGTGGCCTCATATTCAGAAGTATTTAATGAACAGTGTATTCTGACACACTCATATCGTAATCACTATTAAAACTGAAAGTTTTGTGTCACAGTAACTCTTCTGTTTCTTTGTACAAGACAGCCTATGCCAAGGATGGTGAACTTATGGAATGCATGCTCAAAGTGGCACTTCAGAAGGCATCATCTGGCACATAACTTATGATTTTGGTTTTCACCTCTTTTTCAATCATCCTTTCAATTTATCACCTGATCATCCTTTTTTCAACCAGTTTCTTTACATTTATTCTAATTAAAGCATATTCATTTCATTTCTTTAAAAATATTATTTGAAGTCTAGAACTTTAGCATGCATAAACATTTTTAAAGTTGTGTGCTTACTATGTGGTAATCTGACTCAAAATCATTTGCTTCCTGGTCTGTGCTGACCTTCATCAATGAGGTGTGCGTTGTTGGCCCACTGTCTTGTCAATGGTTCGTTGTTTTGCCATGTTTGGAACACCTTTGATAGACATTTACTACAGATGAATGCAAATAACCCATGAACTTTGCTGTTTTGGAGATGCCAACACCAATGTGTCTGACAATCATAATTTGACCATTGTTGAAGTCAAATTAATCTGCTGCTTTACCCATTTGCACATTGTAACAACTAGATTTTACAACCTTCTTACTCATATATATTCATTTACTGACCTTGACATGGGTTGCTGTGTGTCTATAGGAATGTTCTTGCATTGATAAGGTGTGGTCATAATGTTTTGGCTGGTTGGTGTATTTTTGAAATGTAGTAATAATCAGTAAGTATAACAGATCTGGGATCATATCTTTATATTTCAATTTCTTTTTATTTCATTAGCAGATCCCGCCATGCATTGTTGTGGCTCAAAATATATCTATTATAAATGTATAACACATCCACCGTAGAGGGGGGAGAATTTTTTGAAAATTCTCTTCTTATTGTACATTCTCTTGATGTACCCTATTAAAACACAATCAAAAATGCAAAACACCGCATCTAAATTAGTATAATACAAGCCAAGTTCTTCACGGTAAGCCTTAATCTTGTCCCTCTCCCCCCAGTGGGGGAAATTTCGACACATATATTATATAAAAACACGTGCTTATTCAAATGCAGCATTGTGTCAAAATTTCAAAGGAATCTGTAGGAACAAACGAACATTACATTTTTATTTATATAGATAGATAGAAGATGATCTGCTTTAGTTCATCTTTACAGAAAAGCATAATGCCTCACAGAAAAGCAAACTTAGGGCGTCGTACTCATAGCACCATCTGTTGGACATAAAAGCCTTAACCCTAGATGATATCTTTTAATTTATATGAATGTTTAACGGAATAATATACAGCCTATGTCCACTCTGAAGTTCCATTGTAAATATTGGTGAAAGAATTTTTGAAATTGGATGAGTAGTTTCGGAGATTAGCCCTTGCATACAAACTTACAAACATTACTACTTTATAATATTAGTATAGATTATCTTTATATTTCATTATTTTATAATTTCATAAATTTCCAATTTGTTGATATATTTGTTTTAATAAGTTATTTCTTTAAGTTTTGTATATGTAGAAGTCAGTTATATCTTCCTTCTTTGATTTACTCACTCAATAAACAAAATTGTTTTCAATTAATCAAACTACAATTTTTTAATGTAAACAGATATACTCATACAAAAATCTGATTTAACTGTTGTTACTCTAATTAAAATAAATGTTTAAAATATTACTATCTGTAAAAGAGTATAGCATATTTTTAATCTCATTTTAACTCAGAGGAATAATCTTAATCACTGACATGCTGATATTTCTATTTCTTTACGTAATTCAAATATGTCTTTTTTTCATAACTAAGAGGACAGAAGAGTTTGACTTTAACTTTTATAGATTACTGTATTACACATGTGTAGGCTAAAGTAATTCATGATTACGTTTTGTATACCGGTAGCTAAAAGTTCTTTTAATAAATTCTTTAGATATATATTGTAAATACAATTAGTATAATTAATTAGTAGAAATTTTACATTGTTATTACATATTTTATCCAATATTAAATATAAGTATTCAGTTAAAATAATTATTTAAATTGTAATTTAACTGCCAAATTTTAAAATTAAATCAATATACAGTAGATATTGGTATATGCATTCAAAAACTCATTATAATATTTAAAGCATATTGAGAAACAAGCTTCACTACTAAAAAATTGAATTCTTTAAGTTATTATTGAATTGAGAAATTGTGTGTTAATTCAGTAACTCGTTAAATGTGTTATTTTGATTATAGTTTTTAATGTTTGTTTAGAATTTATATATTTTTGGCACCATTGAATCTGAAGTAAATTAACCATGTTTGCTTATTTGTTGCATTTAATAATTTCACATAGAAATTTAAAAATTTTAGAACATTTTAAATGCATTCATATTTTAAAAATCTTAAACATCTCATGCATATATAATTTTTAATTAGAAATTATTTTTTAAATGAAAATTTATGATGATACAAGACTAATTTTGAATTAGAAAATACTCATTAATTTCTATTCCAGTTGTAAAATTTTCATTTGTTAATGAACTAACTACAGATGAAAATTTCCTTTGTTTTATTGTCGTCTTTAATCTTTTTATGAAATTCCTGATGATATTTTATTCACTTTTATATTGCAGATTGAGCTTCACTTTATTTTTCTAATTTAATTTTTAAAAATATATAAATTACCCAACTTCACTGCCTGTAACCGGCGTTCTTCTTCTCCAATACAGAGGACTTTGCGCCTGAAGAAGAACCACATTAGGTTCGAAAACGTTTGCAAAGTCCTCTGTATTGGAGAAGAAGAACGCCGGTTACAGGCAGTGAAGTTGGGTAATTTATCTATTCCGGTGTTAAAATTTCTGTATAATATATAAGTCTTTTTACTTATTTCTTGCTTCTATAAAAATTTTTGATATTTTTAATTAAACAGAAAATGAATTGCTATTGTCAAAAATCTGTTCCCATTACAGTTGAATCTATTTCAAATATGTTTATATTGAAAACCTCTTTACCTCAGAATTTATTTTTTCCCCTGCATCTTTAGCCTAAATTCAATATATTTTCCATGTTTATCTCAATTTTCTCCCAAAACCTCTATACCTCAAACTATGGACTGAAGTGTAAATTACAAATTCAAAGCTTATTGAATACACTTTGATAGCATAAATTGTAGTTGAAAAACATCTCTTGCAATACATAGTTGCAATTAATGCTGCTTTTCTCTAGCTATAAGTTAAAGAAAGTCTGGCATCAGAAACTATTGACAAACTATTTCTGTTAAAGTATGTCATAAATGTTTTATTTATACCTAATAAGGTATGTACATTTGCTATTAATAAAATACCATACTCTAATCCAATGGTTCTTAACTGATGTTCTGTGAACTTAGAGAAAGTGTTTCACCAAAATTTAAAAAATCAGTGAAAAATTAAAACTGGTGAAAAAAATGAAAAAGTAAAAGTCATTGTTATTAGTTTTATTTTCCTTACTTGTACTTATGTAGGCTTTTATCAATTTCTTTAATGGATTTCTATTAGAACATGAATCAAATCTGCTTTTGTGTGTAGGCAGAGTCTGTGTGCAACAGTTGAATGGCAACAACCGAAGTATATGGACGTGTTTCTTTCTAAGAAGGCTACTCTTGTTTTTCTTCAAATAAGTTCAACCTTTTAGACAGATTGTCAGTGTCATAAAATATATTCTTTTGTAATTGTAAGTAGAGGTTCATTTGCAACAAATTGGTCTTATAGAAATTAAAATAGATCTAATTACCCTCCAAAAATGATTATTTGAAACGGCAAAAGAGAGAAATTTCTAAGATGAAAATATGATTCTGGCACTGATATTGCTAGTGTTAGTGCAAATACAAGCAATATCAATAATGATACTCACAATAGGGAGAACAAAATAAAAAATGTCAATAGACAATATTCTAATGATTATCTAGATTTCAGATTCACTTATACTGATGTTCAAATTCCCCTTTGCATGGTTTGTGGGGAAAAGCGTTGTAATAGTGTAATGGTACCAGCAAAATTAAAACAGCATTTTACATCTAAACATGCCAATCTCCAGTCCAAAGACAAGAATTATTTTCAAAGATTGTTGAATAATCAAATTAATCAAGGAAAAAAATTTTTTAAATAGTAATATCATCTAATAAAGCACAAATTGCATCGTATAAAGTTGCCAAAATAATTTCTAAAAATTTAAAACCACACACCATAGCAGAGCATGAATTATTTCAGAACATGCTTTTACCAGCATGTTCTGTAATAATTCAAATTATGTTTGGTGATGATGCAAAAAAAGAAATTTGAAAATTCCTCATTTGGACGACACAATAAAAAACAGAATTATACATATGTCGGAAGATATTGAGAAAACAGTTACTAATAAGTTTTCAGAACAATACTTTGCTTTGCAAATTGACAAGTCCACCAATATCAACAGTAAAGCTCATGTACTATTGTAAACTACATCATATCAAATCACAACCCTTACAAACACACCTATTTAAAAAACTTTGTGCATCTGTGGAAGCTCGGCACAAATCTTTACTTTTACATATTGAAGTAAGGTGGTTATCATGAGGTAAAGTGCTGAACCGAATTTTGGAACTTATTAAGGATGAATTGTCAATGTTTTTTTCAAAATGAAGGGAATGATATTTTGAAAACTTTTCTTACAAATAATATTTGGTGTATTGAAATGGAATATTTAGCTGATATCTTCAATTATTTAAATAACATGAATACTGGTATGCAAGGTAAAAATGAAAATATTGTAACATCCACTGACAATCATCATTTTAAAAAAAAATATCACTTTGGAGAACGACATGTTTCCTTTAAACAAAAATAACAATATTGATGAAATAATTCCTATTATAACACAACATTTAGCATTATTGTAAGAAAAACTTGCAAAATACTTTTCTGCATTGAATATTGAAAATTACGATTGGATACAAAAGCCATTTTCTGTAGTCAACACATCAAGTTATGAGTTTTTGTTACAAGAAGAGGAAGAATTCATTACATTGTCAATGGATCATACTCTCAAAATGAAATTTTCTGAAATAACGGTTGAAGAATTTTGGATTTCTGTTCAAACAAAATTTAAAACTATTTCTGAAAAAGTGATTGAAATTTTATTACAATTTTCAACATCATACTTATGTGAGCTTGGTTTTCAACATTAACGATTACTAAGACAAAGAAACGTGAAAGGCTGACAAATATAGAAGAGGAAATTTCACACATAAGACCATATATTGAAAACTTTTGTAAAAGCCATCAGGCCCAAATATCTAAAAAAAAAAAAAAAAAGAAATTTGTCAAAATTTTTTAATAATTTCATTTACTGATTGTCATTTGCTATTGACCGATATGTAAACTATTAAGTATGTGATTTTTAATATATTATGCAATATAAAAAACATATATACTGTTTTATTTTGCAACTGTGTTCCGCAAAAATCTTGTAAAATTGTAAGTGTTCCGTGATTCTAAAAAGGTTAAGAACTACTGCTCTAATCAAACCTATTACCATTTACTGTTTAGGAACTTCTATATCTCAAAACCTGTTGTATCTCAATTTTTTCTCCTCATTCCCATGAGATTTGAGAAAATTTTTAAAAGATTCAAAATACAGTTGAATTTGTCTAATTTACTTTTTCATATCTATAATATTTGTTGTAGTTATTTTAAAATTTTATAATTAACTTCAATTTTATATTCCACTTGAATAAATAAAATTTATTTTTGTAGGAATAGTGCCAGTAGGAACACCTCAGTCTCATACTTCTGTTATTAATCAAAGGTAGATATGAAATATATAAAATTAGTTTGGGTATGTATTAAATTTTTTAAATTAGATAGTTTAAATATGTTATTTTCTAATTATTCCAGTCTTTCACCACCATTTTTGAATCTATCTACTCCAAAAATGTTAAAAGAAAGAAACATTTATTTATCACCAACATCAAGTCCATCATCACAATGTTCCAACAGGTTTGTTTTAAAATTAAATTGAATATTTTTGATTAATTTGAAGTTCTTTTATGAATTTTTATATTTACTTACTCAATAAATAATTGAAAAACAATTCAATTTTAATCAATTTAAAATATTTTAAAGACAAAAAGTAAATCTAATGAAGAAAAAATAACTAATATATTTATAAAAATTATTCCTTATTGTTAAAAATTAGAATAATCAAGATTATTCAGAATAATTTGAAACCTCTTCAGTTTATTATTCTAGAAGTAAAATTCATTTCAAATTATTTCATTTATTAGAAGAAAAAATATGTAATAAATGATAAAATTAATAAGATTCGAGAATTAAGTTTAATGAGATTCATATAATGCAAATTTACATTTATATTGAATTGTGAGATTGATTAAAAAATTCTGGGAGCCACTGCTGGAGTTTAATCCAAATCTAAAATAAAAAATACTATGTTCCATTTAGAAAATTCAACTTTCACTTTTGATCTAGACAACCCGTTTCCAGTCGATACCCGAAGTTGAAAATATCACCATTCAGTAGAGTGTATCAGATTTATAGGATTTTTGATGAAACTTGTTTTCCTTCATTTTAAAAGGGGTATATTGGGTGGTCTGAGTCACCTTGTATATATATATATATCAAAATTTTTACAAAAAGGAAATTAGTGCAAAACTTTTTTTGTTTGGTAAAAATACTCAAAAGGAAAGCAGTTGGACACTATCAAAAAATGGGAGGGGAAACTATGTAAGGTTTCTCAGTATGGTCTCACAGTTTAAAACAAGCTAAATCATTCCTCAAGTTTTCTTCCTGAACTTAGTTGGCTGCCTTTAGCATGCAAGTCAATTTGCTAATTTTGAGCTGCTCCACAACGTTGTGATTTAAACTGTGCTTGCTATCTTTCATAGGAGTCAAGATAGGATTTGGTCTGAAGAGTCAGAGATGCATGGTGGCCATGCCATCAAATAGTCCACTACTGATTACCTGTATTCTTGTGCACCTGTATACTTAGCAGAAGCAAGATATGTTTGTCTACACTCTAGATTGTGTGTTATAATCAATCATTATCTAATGAATACAACATGAACAGACTTAGGTTATATTTTCTCTAGAAAGGAAAAGTGATTCAGTTTGATGTTTCATATTAAACAGAATTGTGTATGGAAATAGTATAATTTTTCTCATCTTATAGCAATATATTCTTTAATGGGTTTTGTTTTTTTTATTGTTATACAAGTACTCCCCTACTTAAGAACAGATTAGGTTCTTGAAGTTTTATCATAATTTGAAAACTAACCTAGAAAATACATTTGCACACAGAATAACAGAACTTATTGTTAGTGTTTTATCCTTCATGTACTTAATAGAATATATTACGTTCATTTACCCCTCGCTACTACTTAGTAACAGGTATTTCAAATGTGGTTTTTTTCATCTTAGAGCACTTAGTTTTATAATGTCCAGTTTAGCTTCCATGGTAATATTTGTGGCAATTTATGCATGTTGTGTCACTCTATTATGCTTTGGATGCATTTTAGAAGCACTAATCGTAGAAGTTTATAAAAATTGCAAACAATAGCAAAAAAGCTACACACCAACCGAATGCCGAAAATCTATCGGGCTAGTATAAGGCTAATTATTAAATGAAATTACGTAATCAATTTGGCTCTAAAGGTAAGCGTTAGGCGCCATCTCTTATTAACATTAATAATTATAAATAAATTAATTTAAATAATTTATTTATAATTATTAATGTTAATAAGAGATGGCGCCTAACGCTTACCTCTAGAACCAAATTGATTACGTAATTTCATTTAATAATTAGCCTTATACTAGCCCGATAGATTTTCGGCATTCGGTTGGTGTGTAGCTTTATTATATATCGGGTTTAGAGATGTTTGTAAATAGCAAAAAATACCAATTACAACACCACTACAGAATTTGCACAAAAACAAAAGAATGATTATATGTAATAGGAATAAGCCTACATTAATTATTTATTACTGGCAATAGACTAAACTTCAATGCCACCCATGAATGGCAAGAGAATTTCAGAATCTGTGCAAAATTTAAATTTTTGACATATAAACTTATGACAAATTTGAATGTAAGTTTTATGTTCATACACAGATAAGCACCTGTATTAGTTTTGTGTTTGTACTCGGCATTGCTTGGACTTTTGAGGGAGTGTACTTTAGATGAAAAAAAATTGGTTGTACAGCAGTTTTTTAAACAGTTGAAGATTAACTGTGTGTGACTAGTGTTGCTCAGTTTGAGGGGGTTGGAGATTGGTGAGGTTGGGTTGAGAGAGGGCAATAAAAACAATGGTCTTAGTAATTAAAATGTATATTTTTTGACCTATACATTTAACATAACATTGCAGTTTCATTATTGTAACACTTGATCGGAGAGGCATGGATTTTAGAGTTGGGTGGGGATGGGAAACCTCCACAGTATTTTTTCTAGGGTGTTGAAGAATATCCTTGATAAATTTGGTATGGATATGTTGAATGGCATAGAACCCTTTACTTAACATACACACACAAAAGTCAAAATATGTAAGATTTGGGAGGAATTTTCCTTGGCTCTTGGCATTACCTCTATTATATAGCAAATAAATATCAATACAAATAGAAATCTTTCAGTTGCAGCTGTTTTGATATTGATATTCTTATTGATATTTTATAAAGCTTTATTAAGACAACAGTTTGGTAAAAATATGAGCATGGTTACCAATAGCAATTTTGCTTGAATAGAGTTAATAAGATGTGTTCAAACCAAAGATATTCTAGGCTAAGCTTTAACTATTAAATCAAACTGACTTAAATGAATAGCTTGTTATAAATTAAGCTTCTGTAATATTCTAAATATTAAAAAAGATATGATTAAATAATTAAATTACATCGAAAAATGATAAACATTTGCAACAATCTAACAATGTATATAACAGCTGATATCAAATATCTACTATCGCAGTGAAGATTAAAACATGATTCAAAATAATCTGTAAACTAAAATTTATAATTATTGGATTATTATTGTTATGTTGGGTTTAGTGAGTTATTCTCGGTTGACACCAGTGGCTGTGTACTATGCTGGACAAGAGTCAAGGCATTTAATTTTTGTCTTGTTTTGGTTACTATAAGTGTGTCAGTGTGTGTGTGTGTGTTTTCAAGAATTTCCTAACTTTATGACATGTATTCAATATAGTGGCCTTCTGTAGTGTGATGTATGTGTTTCTATTCAATTGTAATATTCCCAGGCTTGTGTAGTGTGTGTGGTATGACACTTGTACAGGAGAGAACGACAGGTACAATAAGCACCCTATCCATCTTCCATAGATGCCTTATTTCCTGGGCGAATTCTGTGTACTTTCTGATTTTTTCAGTGCATGTGTTTTGTATATTGTGTGTTTGGAACAGATATGTCTATATTGTATGTGATTTTATTGCGCTTGTCAGTGAGTGTGATATCTGGTCTGTTGTGGTAAATAGTTTTATCTGTGATATGGCTCTGTCATAGTACATTTTATGCATGTTGTTTTCCAATAATGTCTGTGGAATGTATTTGTAGTATGGTTCGTGGATGTCTAATAATTTGTGTTTGTTTGCAAACTCTTGGTGTATTATATTTGCTACTTGATTATGTCTATGTAAATAATCTGTCTGTCAAGAGCTTGCATCCAGAAGTGATGTGTTGTATAGTTTCTGGCATGATGTGACATTTTCTGCATGTGTTATTTGTGAGTGTTGTATCTTTGAGTATGTGTTTTTTGTAGTTTTTAGTATTTATGACCTGATCCTGTATGGCAATCATGAATCCTTCCGTCTCCCCAAAGAGGCATTCCTGAGCTAACCAGCTGTTTGACGCAGTTTTGTCAACAAAATCCTGGGCCAGATCATAGGGATGCCTGCTATGGAGTGTCTTTTTGAACCCATGATTGCTTAATGGTGTCTATGCTTTTTATATATTGTGAGTGTAAATTTAATGGTGTTATTTGAGTCTGATAGAGTTACTGCTTTATGTAACTGTGATGTTTCTTGTTTTTGGTAAAAAAAAAAAACTCTCACAGTGTCTGCATTTGTTTGTAGTGAAGGTTAACTATGTAAATCAGGCCACGTCTGCCATCTTTATGTGGAAGGGTTAATCTTTCTATTGTGAGAGCCGAAATTAGAATAAACTTTACTACTAAAGAAGGGTTTTAGAAAAATTATTTTAAATTATCTGGATTTCAACAACAAAATGTTATAATAATTTTTCAAAAAAATTACTGATTAAATCGGCGATTAAACTGTTTCCCACGGAATTAGTTCCTTGTTGGAAGTGACACATCAACTGCATCACTTGAACTCAACGAGAAAAAATCGTTGATTGGACCCAACATACTAAATCTTCGAATGAGTAAGTGGAAAAACCCAGAAGAGACCCCCGTATAAATTGGAGGGGTGCTGACAATCAGCATTTTTTTCATCACCAGTCGTAAACCTTTCAGTGTGTGTGCATCCCTCCATTGCCATCCTTAACCCAAATCTGGATTAGTGCCTGAAGTGAAACCAACCTAGATTAACATCTGAACTTTAATCAATGCCTAAACTTGACTTCCATGGGAATCCTTCAATGAGGACCTCATCAGACTCCAGGTATTTATTGCCACGCAAACCTCATGTAAATTCTCTCTCTCGAGCTGTTTGATAGTTTAACAATAAGTAATCCTGTAAACAGCCCTAACCCTGTAAATAACCTTTATAATTAAATGGGTATTTGTTAAATGAATAACCTTGTGGAGTGCATTTCTTCCAGAGTTCTCCTTCCGTCTCCAATCCGAACCCAACCTATTATGTACGTGACCACTCCGCGAGAATGAAACTGTTTCTGTGTCTGTCCATAGATACAGTGGTGCTAAAGAGGTACTGACCCTGTGGTCACACTATGGCAGATTTAAGATGATGATGTTTATGCTTAGTAAGTGTTGTTCTTGTTTTCATTTGGAGTTGCTCAAGATCTGTGTGAGTCCAATGTATAACTCCAAAAGAATAAGTGAGTATTGGGACGACAAATGTGTTTATTGCTTTAACTGTGTGTTTTGCATTTAACTATGTTCTGAGAATAGCGTTTAACTTACTTTTATATTCTTTAATTAATCTTTGCTTTATTTGTGCATGTTCTGTTGGAATCCTAAATACTTGTAGAATTTACCCTCTTCCATGGATTCAATAATGTCTCCATTTCCAAGTGCAAAATCTTTTTTCTTCGGGATTCCTTTTTCTATGTGAAGTGTTTTGCATTTGTCTAAGTCAAACTCCATTTGTATGTCCTTGGTGTATGAATGTGTGATTTGTAGGAGTTGATGAAGTTGTTTTTGTGGATGCATAAAGTTTTATGTTGTCCATGTACATGAGATGTGACAGTGTAAACTGTTTTTTTTTTCATGGCTAATATTCTAACCATATTGCGTGTTGTTTAAGATGTTGGATAATAGGTTCAGAGCTAGACAGAAACTAGACAGGACTCAGGGAGTCTCCTTGAAAAATTCCTCGCCTAATGAACATTTGGTTTGTTTGTATGGAAGTGTTACTAACCCTGAGATATAGTGTTGTTCTCCAGTGCTGCATAGTGTTTTGGAAGGATGCAATGAGTGATGGATGTATTTTGTACATGTGTAGAATATGTAGCAGCCAACTTTGTGGAACGCTGTTGAATGCTTTTCTGTAGTCTATATATGCCATGTGTATGTTTCTGTGTTGTTTGTGTGCTTGCAGTAGAATGACTGAATCTATAAGTAACTGTTTTTTTGCATCCCCTGTGATTTCTATAGCAACCTTTTTGTTGTTCTGTAAGAATGTCGTGTTCTTCAACATGTTTGTATCAATATATTTTGTTGGCAATACAGGATGTCAATAATTTGTAGAGTGTTGGAGCACATGTAATTAGTCTGTATTGTGTGGGGTCTGTGGTGTTGTTGTTTTTAGGTTTCATGTAGGTGATGCCCTGAGTAAGAAATTTTGGCATGTCTTGTGTGTTAGGTATTTTAGCTAGTTTCTGGTGCAGTGATGTAAACTTTTTGTACCAGAAATTATGAATGTTGTTTATACCAGGTGTGTTCTGTTAAAAGTGTAGCAGATGTCATGTATGTTTATTTCAGCACAGGGCATAGTTGGTATGTTATGCAAGTTTTTGCTCTCCTCCTCAATCCAGCCTGCATCAGCATTGTGTGTAACAGCACTGGACCAAAGAGAGAACCAATAACTTGTGAGTTCTTCTGTTATAATATAATCAATATGGGTTGATGATAATAAAGATATATTAATACTTAGAAATTTTCAGTGATAAGCATAATACAAATTTACACATAATTATCTTGTTCAATAAATTTTTCAATATACTATGCCAGTCCATTGTCTGATTATGTACTTCAGTATGATACAAATAGATATGGGGCTTTTCCTATCTACTTAAAGAGATTATTTCAGTTTCCAATAAAATGAAAATATTGAGTTTCCCATCAGACCATGCTAAATGAAACAAGATATTAAATCTTTACTGCCAAAAATTTTTAACATTTTACAGCAATTCACATGAATTATTTGAAAATTTGGAGGATGACTGGAAATATGGATATAAACTATTGAAACAGTATTTTCTATATCTATAATTAAAAATCTCAATCTACATCCCTTCAAGATCCAAGTATATGGCAACAAACATAGTAATAAATATAAAAAGTCTGTTAATACAATTAAGTGACAAATACATTTTTAATCCAAATCACAATAAAATAGTTAATATGATTAAAACTTTTTGCCAATCTGAAACCATGTCGCTATACTTGTTGTTGCTTAAACACTATGAAGTGTAATTAATTGACCACTAGGCATTCTTTCATCCTTTTATTTTTTATTCAGTTGAATTTACTTTCAATAATTTCCCACATAATTGATGGATACATATCTACAATATCGAGGCTGGCTATTTTGAAAGTTTCTTCTATATTTAATTTGTTAAGATCATGTATAAGCTCATCTGCATTTTTAATAGCATGATTCAAATTTTGGTATTTTTGTAGTTCTTGTTTTATAAATTTTTCTAGATTGTACTGTACAGCATAGACCTATAGTAGACTTCAAATACTCTATCTTAAATGAAGATAATGAACAAATACTGAAACTAAATGCATAAAATTGGTGAAAAAATTAAACTAAACAAAGATGAAAAATGGATCTTAAATGAAGATAATGAACGAATACCAAAACTAAATGAATAAATTCTCACTATTTATAAACAATGTTCAAGGATTGATCAAATGAAACCTGTTTGAGTAAATTTATTAAGACAAACAAAACAGTATATCCATCAGTATGGCATAATTAAACAAAGAAATATATGATGAAGCTGTAATGCACTTTTGTTTATTAAAAAATCACCGGACATTCAGACATACATACCACTGTTTAGAGAGACAGCAGATACCATCCACAAAGATGCTGATTGGTCATTAAACCAATTTGGTGATTGCTTCCTTGACTTCCACATCAGAGTTAAGGTGTTGTCCCTTAAGAGTTTTTTTTAAAGGTCCGAACAAATGAAAGTCATAAGATGACAGATTGGGGCTATAGGAAGGAATGTGTAGAATCTCCCAGCCGTTTCGTGCTAAAGCATCCTGCACAGTGTTCACAACATGCAGTTGAGCATTGTCGGCAGCAAAATTACACCATATGATAGCATGCCTGGTTGCTTATTCTTTATGGCTTTATTCAGCTTGTCTAATGTTGCATTGTAGTGTTGGCATTGATGCTCGTGTGAGGGTCTTTAAATTCCATCAACAAAGGCCACCCAATGTCAAAAATTTCAGTCATCATAACCTTACAAGTGAAAGCCCGTGACTTGAATTTTTTGTGTTGGTAAGTCAGAGTGTTTCCATTGCATGCTCACTCATCTACTGGTTGGCTCAGTGGTGGCACCACATTTTGATCTAGGACGGATTCCAAATAAACTCCGGCTATGTTTTCACTACTCTATGCCAAAACAAAATGCACAAGATCACTTCCCAAGATCATCTTCCCACTTGTTCATTGGTGTATGCTTATCATGCCATGTGACATCATTCCCTTCCTCTTGCACTAAACCACATGACAAGGCACGAATGGGTTTCATTTGATCAATCCTAATATATACTGCCTTTTCTACAGGTCATTGATATTGGTTCAATGAAAAAGAATTCTCTGTTAAAAGACTGAATAATTTTCTAAGATGTGTCAAATCAAGGTTTTTCAAACATTATAATTAAATCTATCTCAAGACTAATGAAACTGAATGACTTGTCAAGATTTTAAATATACTTTGAGATCTGATTCCAAGCATTGACATTTGAATACTCCTTTCATTTTAAGAACCAGATGCCATATCTGTGCTGAAAGGAATGTATGGAATAACGTGTAGCTTCATGTTGATAAGTGTCTTCACTGTTCACTTACTGTCATATGGTCTTGTGTTATCATGATGCAAGAATAAGCTGATATATTTGCTAGATAAGGCCAATAAGAACAGTCTGTTGAGTGCTTATGTTTAGTGATACCTTCATCAAATTGATTGTTTCTTCCATTTGATACAACCTTCCAATGATAAAATTTCAATCATTGAAACACTGCTTTGTATAAAATGAAGAAGACAAGTTCATTTTTAAACTTGTGCTGCATCATTGTACAACAGACAACAAACTAAGATTACTAAATAGCAATGGTCGTGTGTTTCTATTCCCAGGATTCTATACTTAGCAGGACACTGTGGTAGGAGACCTTATCTATCAATCTCCAATACGTGCATTACTTCAAAACTTTTGTTTGTTTCTTTAATAAAACAGTTTTTGAGATGAATTTGAATTTCATTGCATAACCTTAAGTGAAAATATTAAAAAATATTTAATTAGATAATTATCAAACAAACCATATTTAACTTCTTTTAGAAAATTTTTCAAATCAAAAAACTTTTAATTGTGCTAATTATCTTTTATTTCTTAGAACTCCTGTCAATCAAAATACTATTAGACATTCAGGCTTAACTCAAGACTTCTCAGGTAAATTAATTATTTGAATAATTCGCTTCAAAAAATTGTATATTTGTTTAATTTTGTTACAAAATTTACTAACTTTTTAAAAAATTTCAGGTAAAATGTCACTTAGTCCAAGTTCATCAAAGCATCTAACTATGATACATAAACCAATACAGGTTAGTTATATTATTATTATTAAACTTGTTTATTCAATTTAATAATAGCTTCAACTAAACTTTAATTTATTGAATTTTTCAGCTAAAACCAGAATTTAGGCATCCAGGATTAATTAGAAAAGCCAAAGTGTAAGTTTATTTATAATTTAATATGTGTTAAGTCACATTTTTGCCTTATATTAATACAGTAAGACCCCACTTAATGCTGATTTGATATAACACGGTCTGCTTGAAGCCTAAATAAACGCTCAAAATTTACGCCAATTCAAATTATCGTGACATTTCATTGATTCATATAAATTACGATATTTATGAACACGAATCAATTGGAAAAAGGTGACAATTCATTGTAGCGCTGTACTTTCCTTAAATCTATGTTATATTTTTTCCAAAATTGCACAAAAAAAATATCACAGACGCCATAGGAAATATCGACTTGGTTTGGCAAGAACTGATAAATGCATGAACGGAGTGTGGAAGAAGTTATGGCTGAAGGTATCCAAGAATTCTCAATGAGAAGAGCCTATTGCTGTATCATTAGGTTGACCAAATTCTCAACCTAATTGATACAGCAGGACTAGGAGATGTAGAAGAGCAGGATATTGAGGAGTTATTGCAGGTTTCTGGTGAGAGCCTTACCAATGAAAACCTTCGAGAACTGTCAGAACAAGGAATTCATGTGCAACTGGAATATATAGATTTGAAAATGAAGAACCCAAAGAATTTCTCTACAGATTTCCTTAGTAAAAGTTGGATAACAATAACCAAAATTGTTGATCAAATTGTAGCGAATGATCCAGATTTTGAAAGGGTGCAAAAGCAAAACGAGGCGTTTTGGATGCAATCTTCTGCTACTGACATTTGCTTAAGGAAAGAAAAAAGTGACAAATGAAACTTTATCACAAAAAACAAGAATTTCAGAAAAGTTGGACCTTTGTCACAAAAAATGAACTAATTAATATATTATTATACATTTCTGTGTGCATATGTTTATGTGTTATTTAGCATATTTTTATATTAATTTGTATAATAATATAACTTAAAATTAAAGTAAATTTTTTTATTTTTGGTCACGTGTTCCCCTATTCCTATTTACCCTATGTTAAAATGAGCTCATTTAACGCTGTTTTCATTAGGAACACATCCCCCACATTAAGTGGGGTCTTACTGTTTTTCATAACAAAAAAATCTTAATATATATTAATAACAATCAATTTGGAGTTCACAAAAATGTCTAATGTAAAACTGAATTAAGTAAAATGATCTCTATTATCAAATGTATGATTTATTTTGATAACAAATTAAAATAGTCATGTATTTAATATAAACCAACATGATTGGAGTAGGAAAAAATCAAAATTATTTTGATTCTTTTTTTAACTCATAAGATTACACATTTTCATATTGTTTCTGAATTATCAACACTACATTACATTGTTTAGTTCAGTAGATATTTATGGGACTTTGTTGAAGTCTAGGGACATTTCCTACAAAATAAAAAATAGAATGCTGGAAATTATCATGCAAGAATAATATCAAGGTCTATAAACATAAGGTCAGGACACCAATGTTCCCTATGGAGCCACTATTTTGGATCTGCAGTTCCAAGGTCACAGTATAGATTACATGCTATCTATGTGCTGTAAACTGTACGTTCCTTCGAGTTTGAGCCAAAGAATTCCTTTTATAGTTTCAAATAGAGTATTTTTCATTTAGAAGTTACTCGTGACACTTAATTAAAGGCTTTAACTAAGTAGGTTTCAAAATAAAAAGCTATGTCAATGGTACATATAATAAATTATGAGGATAAATTTATTTAGTTTTGAAATGCAAAATTAGAGAAGAAATTTGGAGATATTTGTTAAAATAAGAATATATTTAGTTGTCTATATTCACATGCACTTTTACATTACACAAACTGCCAACAGAAGCTCAGATTAAACATTTTTATAAATTAAGATTAGATGAAGAGAGAACCATTCTCACAAACTTTAAATATTATGTAAGTAAACTTTCAAAAGTGTTTGCAAGAGATAAGTTCCTAAATTAAGGAAATTATTTCTTATTGCATATAAACTAAATTTATTTATTTTTATAGAGAATTAAATAAGTATATTTATAAAAATTTATTAAATTGTAGACAAATAGACAATACCAACAAATAAAATGATTATTGAAGTTGANTTGGTTAGGTTTAATGATGTGTTGTTTTTGTTCACAAGAGTTACAGCTTTGTATATTTCTCACAGTGTCTGTATTGGTTTACAGTGAAGATTTACAATATCTTTGAGGCCTCATCCTCCCATTTTGTGAGGAATGGTCAGCCTCTTTATGGACAACTTAGGGTGGGGTTTGTTGTGTTTTGTTAATGTTGTTTGTGTTTCCTTTGGAGTTGTTATAATTCTGTGTGCACCCAATCTATAATTTCAAATGAATATGCCAGTATTGGGCTGTTGATTGCTTTAAGTATGTTTTGCATTTAGCTATATTGTTAGTATTGAATTATATATTTTTGTTAGTCTTTGTTTTATTTGTACTTGTTTTATAAGTTTGCTGTTTGGAATCCTAAATATCTATAAACTTTGCCCATGGATTCAATGATGTGTTCATTTCCAAGTACAAAATAATCTTTCTTCAGGATTCCTGTTTTTACATGAAGTGTTCTGTATTTATCTAGGCCAAAGATCATTTTAATGTCAATGGAGTAAGTGTGTATAACTTCTAATTGGTGACTTAGCCATGCTTATTATTATTTACTTATATCATTAAATTTTATATATAGTTTTTAAATGCTATCATTAGAGTAATTGTAGATTAGTGAATATTTATTATGATGATATGTGGTTCTTGTGATTAAATTTGAAAAATATATTTTTTAAACATTGCTTTATGTCCTAAAATCATTTAAACCAAAGCTGCACTTATTTGGAGGTAATTCTCTTTCTCTTGGTGTTTTTCTTCTTAATTACAGACAGGGTGGAGGATTTGGAACATCAAAAAGGATCGGAATTGCATTCCATTTCAATAATTTTCTTCCATCCATTCTTTTAAGTTCAAATTGTGACTTTTCAAAATATATCTAAAAATTTAGTTACATTACATTACAAAAGTTATTTTAAACAATTTGTAAATTTTATTAACATTATTTTATCCACTAACCTCACACAAATGGAAACGAACTGATAATTCAAGGCTATCTCTTTGCAATACTGATTTGCAATAGCCATTTACTCTCCTGCAACAATCTTACACCTTTGGCTGTCGAATTTTTACAATTCGGTGCTGAACACCAAACCATTTTAAAAATTATATATATACGAAGGCTGTTTTTTTTCAACCTCCAATGGTCCATAAAACAAAGACAAGTGTAAATAACAAAATAAACTTATAACCAAAAGTTAGGTACAAAAATGGTTACTTTTTGACATAATCACTGTGAAGATTGACATAAATTCCTCAATCTTCATAGTGATTATGTCTTGGTTATAAATTCATTTTGTTATTTAAATTTGTCTATGTTTTATGGACCATCGGAGGTTGAAAAAGAAATGGATTTCTTGTTATATACAAAGGCTAACTAATTGAGATCGAAAGAAACAATCAGCTTTGCTCTAGAAACACTGTACACATAACCTCAAAAGGATCCAATGTGGTGACTGCTGCAATGCATCACAATATCATGTCTAGACCTTATGTTTATAGACTTTGATAGTATCAAATGGTCATTGTTTCATTGTATTAAACAAATTTTGCCTAGTTAAGAGAAAGACAAGGTGAAAGTTAAAGCATTTGTTTTTCTGCACATTATTTTAGCAATTTTTTTACTTGCAGACAATTTATAATAGAACACATTTTTTTCCTTACAGATCACCATACAGTCCAGATAATGAGAAATAGTTATTTTTAAGCAATAAAAAGTATTTATTGTATATAAATCTGTACAGTATTCAATAAAGTTCAGTTTTATGTAGATTTGTTTTCTTTCAGTCTCATTTTTTCTTGATTGATGATTTTTCTTCTAATTTCCAAAGCTTGGTTAACAGGCCTTTTTTTATGATAAACTGATTGTATTCTAACTGGAAAATACATATTAAAATTATATTTACTTCTTGTTCTATAAATTTCAATCACACAAAATCAGTACTATTGTATAATAGTTTTATAGAAATAAAATATTGATAAATTAGCTTTGATGGCTGTCAGCCATCAGTTTTAAAATCTAAAGGAAAAAAGAAAGAATATATTATATCTATATACAGTAAATATTCAGCTCTTTCAAATATGAAATATAAATTTGATTCCATCTTCAATAATCTAAAGTCACAAAAACTAATTGAAGACTAATACAAATAAAAATTTGGTATCTTCACACATCCTTCACAACCATAGGAACACAATTAACATGACCAGAGTTGACCTTTCCTTTTAGGCTCTTTTCTGCTTACAAATATGTAAATGATTAAAAGTGCCTCTGGCACCAGATTCTTTTTGGCAGAAAAGGACTTTTAATCAATTTACATATTTGTAAGCAGAGAAAAGCCTAAAAGGAATGTTGACACTGTTCATATTGTGTTCCTGTAGTTGTGAAGAGTGTAAAGACATTAAGTTTTTTATAGTTGACTACACCTATAACACTATACTTACAGAACTCAAAATCATGTATAAACACATGCCATAAAGCCAAGCCATGACTTAGCATTATGGCATGTGTTGCCACAAACAGTATGTTTACTTATGGAACTCAAAATCATATATATGTATAGTCTAACCACAAAATACCATATAACAATTCATTTATAATTATAACAATCAACTGCACATCGGAGTTAAATAACACGTGCCTCAGAAAAACCTTTAACCGATGCAAAATAAAATTTAACAGTACAAACGTTTTCAGACCCCTTCTGGGTCCTCCGTCCTGTTTATGTGATATGTTTTTTATGCTTAACAATAAAGTTCTTCATAAAATCTTTAAAAAAATGGAAAATATTTAAATATCTGTCGATAGGACGTAGAAACTGTGACATTCGGAGCTATTGATCATGTGATTCTGTTCTATCTTTCCGATTTTTAAAAAATCATTCCAAACGAATGCTTTTTCGTATTTAGTAACATTTCAAATGATTTTTTTACCTGAAGAAGGACCCAGGAGGGGTCTGAAAACGTTTGTAATGTTAAATTTTATTTCACATCAGTTAAAGGTTTTTCTGAGGCACATGCAATTCATTTATAATTAGCAATTATGGTATTCATGGAAATTGGCCCACTCGCTCCACTTGTGCCAAGCTTCCATTCATGCCATAATCACCTATATCAGGTGTGGCCAAACTTTTATCCCTTAGGGGCTACTTTTTTGGTAAAATATAGTCTGCAGGCAACTATGAATATGGGCAAACAATTTTAGGATTTTTATATGCGCATGCGTTAACATTCATTTGCATTGTTCATCGGGATAAATACAAACAGTATGGGTACATTGCACAGTCTATTATTGTAAGAATAAATTATCGAATTAAGATTTTTAAACATTAATTTAAGTGAAAGCAAATTGTTCAACTTTAGCTTCACAGGCTACTTTCAAAACCTTTGCGGTCGACCAGTCGACCACGGTCTACATGTTGGCCATCCCTGACCTATATTATAAACTAATTGCATAATATACTATTATTTGTATTTATATTAAAATATTACAAATCGAAGTCTGATCATAATAGTTTTTTTAAGTATTTTTGAGCTCTTTGATAAATGTTTCTATTGATGATATGAGGAAATCATTTTCTTTTTAAATAGAAAAATGGATCTATTGAGAAATAATTATTAAAGTCTCTTATGTTATGATTCATAAGACATTAGTGCACTCATTTTAAAAATAAATGTTAATGTATTGATATAAAATTTTTATTCTAAGTATGAAGTAGTTATTTTGTAATAATTTAAATTTTTTTAGTTTACTGTGAGAATCGGGGTTTAAGCATCAAAGCTTAAACCGTTTTCCGACAACAGGAAGGTGAGTCCCACTCACATGGTCAGTGGATGGCAATTTAGGAGGGCGAAAATCGAGTGGGAGGTCGTGGATAAGTCGATAAGGTGTTGGCCGAGTACGAGTAAACACACATGTTTAAGATATTATATAAATTTAATTAGTAAACACTATACAAAAAGGATACAAATATACAAATAATAAAATTAATAATAATAATAATAATTTCAAACCGAAGTTACAAAAGGTATCTCGCGTATTTCTGACAGAGGAGAGTCTCTGATCCTCATTAATATTTATTTCTTAATTAGCCCTAGTCCACCTGAGAGAAAAGAGAGAGTTCTACTTACTAAGTTGTAGATAGTAGAATCTTGCTTAGTCGTCCATCACCAGCGGTCAGTGTTTAAAGGCAGTTGATCCGTTGTTTCCTAATGTCTTGAAGGCCACCTCGATAACGGCTCTTTATACCAAATTTGAGGGGTTGAGAACTATGACATTATTAATGATTTATATGCACACCTGTTAGTGTGTTGATGTCTGGATCTAGCTAGTACAGACCATTGGCACAGAGAACTTTGTTTAATTTATTGATATTGGTGTCTAGAAGATATAATTTTATAATATAAATTTCTATAGGTTTGACAGCTCTCGTCCATAAATTAACATTCAGCTGAAATAATTTCTGTAAACTGGTCAACAATCTAGATATTGTTTATATCAAACGTCGCAATTTATTGCTGTAACCACGTGTCACATGTAACCAAAAAGGGGATAAGAAACATCTCTTATTCCTGTGTTGTTGATATTAATGTCTATAGAATTACTGTTAAACAAATGGAGGAGATTTCTTTCATTGATATTTTAACATTCCTTTTTTTATTCAAGGAGAATGTCTCGGTCATTGACCACAGAAGGCCCCCTTTCTCCCTTTACAAAGAAAATCCTGAGTTTTATACTGTTCTAAAACAGAAAAAGGGTTTCAGACCTTCACATCACTCTCCTCTTTCTTAAAAACCACACTACAAATTTTTTGAAGATTAGTGTGCGTTTTTATATGATTCTTATAATTTATCAACAACTTATTCGTGTAATCGTACGAAGGTTCTCTGCTTGATCATCTGTTTGGTTCTGGAAACAATAGGGATGTTCGGATCCAGTTAAAATGGCTCAATACGGATTTCCATCCGATATAATTTAGTAACGGGGAATATTAGCAAAGGGGAACTTGATCCCACTTGTGATTTATTATTGTCTGGTTTGTTAACTCTCTCCTTTCTCCACAGCTGGATGGACAAGTTCGAGCATTTGCTCTTAACATTAGTAAAAAGTTGGTGCCAGGAGACGAAAATTCAAGGTCTGGGCACATCATTCGTAATATTAATTGCAAGTTTCTTGTTAGTTATATATATGTGAGATACACAGTGGGTCAGGGGTCAATCTTGTACTGACCACTTAATCTTCACAGGCTGGTAAAGCCCGATCTCGAAGTCATAGGATGGCTAGGAGGGCAAATCGAGTGGGGAGTGCGTCAGTAAGTTGACAGGTTTCCTCGGATAAACAGGAGACAGGTTTAACAAATAAAATAAATGTTTATTCTATAACTAAAGAAATTTACAGGAGTATACAAGTTCCTGTTTATAGCTTAGATGCGGATAACATAAATTTATCTATAAGGGAGCTGTAACTATTCACTATGCCGCGTGAGAGTTTACAAAGAGAGTTATATTGGCGGTCAGTTATACCTTATGTCGGAGGACGGTATGCGACGATCCTTCTGGACTATGGAAGCTGGCTGTCTGTCACAGGCTTATGTCTTCTACCGGCTTCTCCTCGGACAGGATCGGGACGGGAGACACTGTATTCAGACCTTCCTGAGGATCGCGCGGAGGGACGGTCGCACTGAGGGGACGATCGCCCTGAACTTCCCGTGACGATCGTTTTTATACGATCGTCGTTGGCACTGAGCCAACAGGTCGTTCACTCGTTATGCTGACTAATTAGCACGTGCACGTTGACTAATTGACAAACGGACGATGTGTAAGATTCCACATCCGATCTATTTCCGTTATATTTTTTTCCATCCTCTAATGAAAAAATATGTTAACCCTAAAAATTTTCGAACTCAAACCCCTCGGGATCACATATATAATATATAAAATTTACCATAATACTAAATAATTATTTTTTTGTTTATCCTAAAAATTATAAAGAATGCCCCTGAAGGGTATCCCAGGTTACTAGCTTATATGCCTCATATAACAAAGGTTATGAATAAGGCGGTGCCAGGAAACAGATACATAAAGGTCTGGGCACTTTTGTGGGTATATTATTTTGGGAGTATATTACTAGTTGCACAATTACCTTTCTTGAGATCCTTTTGTTGGATCTTCCCACTGCTTACTCTTCATAACAAGTTACTTGTCAATGATGCTTCCCGAGGACTGTAAGCGATTCCATTGAAATCGACGAGAGGAAAATATAGTCTGGCAGTAAGGCACCGTTGGAGATGGCGTGGATTCTCAAGATCACCAAGATGTTTCAAGATGAGTTGTATCGTGTTTTTGGGTTTCATAACACAGGTAAAATTGACAAAATGAATAATCCCAGAAGGAAAGACGAGTTTTAACGACTAGAGATGATGCACTTATAGTTTGTCATGACCAATTAAGATCATTCGGATGCAGATTGTTTAACAGGTGTTGAAATCTAACTTTAAGTATAACGATTGAATATCTGGATGTTTAAGGATCAGAAATCATACCCAGCTGCGGCCACATTGATCTGGTCTGTCAATGAGACTCAGGAAGACAATTTGGCCTGGAAGTAGATCTCGCTTCGAGACCAATGAGTCCCTGACTTGTTTTGGTAAATGTAGTGATAGAGATGTCTCCGCAGCACGCATAGATAGATAGAGTTCATTAAAGTATGGGACAAATCAAAAACACGCGGTCGGAAGGGATGGATTTAAAGATCCTTTAGATGAGGAGATCGGACCTCGTCGATTCTTGATGATTAGTATTTTACTGCCGATATTCACTGTCAGTTCGCCGGTTGATTCAGAAGCTGAAAAATGTGTTCTGGCAGGAATTCATCTCATTATTAGGGTAAGATCATTATTCCTCTCAAAAAAAAAATTTTTGTTATTGTATATGCATATATGTATGTACTGTACATACACACATGCAATATCATTGGTGATCATCGTGGAAACGGGTATACAGCTGCAATATAAGTGGACGATCAAACAATAAGTACGGTACGTGTCCCTAAAATGCTATATGCTCTATCTACATAAATTTAGTTAAATTACTTTCTCTTTATAATTTTCTGGTAAGGTATTCATTTCAATTAATTATCTCAAACTCTTATTGTAGTTAGATGTTTATGTTTTATCCTTTCTCCATTGTCTCTTCCCATTGTGCAACATGTAAATCTCTGTACTTCGTAACGTTCCACATAGGACAGAGAACAATAGGGAAAATAGTTACCATCGTATCTGTGGACAAGTCATTATAATCATATGTCCTTACAGTCCCACAAGAAGCACTTTTTAATCGCTTTAGTTCCCAGCAATTTTTAATCTTAATGTAATTAAACATAAAAAATACATAAAACTGAAAAAAAAACAAAAGAAATGCATTAATTTTAAAGAAAAGGCTTCCAACTTTATTTTCCATTGTCTCGCCTTTCTGTGAAATCTGACACCAATGAGTTATTGTGTTTACAGCTGGATGACCTTGAGAACAGCTGGTGTTGGATTTCCTGGGACATTCTCATAGAAGTCTCGGGAGGCAATGGGTTTATAGTAGGGTGAATACTAGCTGGCGGTATATTTTTAAATAATTTTAAAAAATTAAAATTTTTATTGCGATTTCTGACCCCGACTTAATTAAACGTATATATAATAAAATATATTAATTAAAAAAATTAAAAAACTATTGGAGGTTGTTTTTGATATCAGAAAGTAGCTTTAAATAACTTTACCAAAGGAAAATCCGTGCACTACAACTTTAGAACGATGAATTAAATTTGATATCAAAATCCCATTAAAAAACAATTAAGCGTTAATCGTGCATCATTAAAGGTAAATTAAAATCGCGATAAAATTTTTTCACGTGGGTAAAAATTTTTGAAAAAATTTGAAGACCTAAAAAACATCCAAAAATTGAAGAAAAAAAATTTTTTTAGGGGCCGAAAGGACAGAGTTTTCTGTAAAGCTATGTAACCTGCCCGAGTTAACTCGGGCGAGGAACTAAAGGGGTTTTAATTAATTAATTAAAGAGCCCAATTATTGTTGATGGGGGACCTGACGATTTTGACGTCGTCTTCGTGTTACAGATCGGGTAACTCGCCTAGGAGGAGAGGTTGCTCTCTCCTGGCAATACCGTTCTGATTGTGTAGGGAGTGACCCATTCTGGTTAATGTTGTCGTCTGGCAATAAATATAGATCTAACGTAGTGAATTCTAGCGGGATGTTCTGGGGATCCGGTATATTACGGTGTTCTGGTTCTCCGCCGGGAATGGGGACGATTCCTTGACGGATTAGTTGCATTAGCTGCACTATGGTGGAGAATTGGAGTGTACACTCTATGTTAAAAGTAATAGTGTGAGGACGCTCCTGCATTTCCTCTTCTGCTAAGAGCATCTCCTTTGTCCGGCAGCATACAAAAGACGCGCCTCCTGGAGATTAGCAGGTATCGGTTGAATGTTACTCTCTGACATTATCTGAAAAAGGCGTAATATACAAAATAGTTTATTACAAAAATTTTTATACATAAATAAAGTATTCTCCAGGATATAGTAGAAGTCAATGTCGGAATCGCCTCTGTCTTTTTGGTAGCGGGGGTGATAATGCATCAGACGATTCATCTGACTCTGAATCCGTGGTGGTAGATGCTGGAGATGAAGTGGAAGGAGAACGTATTTCTTCCACTATTTTACTCTCTGTCTCCATTGATGGGGAGGAGCATAAGATCTCTGGAGCAAAGGCGGAGTATTTGTCTACATTGTCACCTTCTACATGTCCTGAGGACATGTAGTGTCCGATTTGCTGTACCCATCGTTGTTGAGCTTCTATCCTATAGCTGTCCAGAGAGGCTACTTCGAAATTCATAGGGAGAACGGCCATGGTCAATGGTAATTTCCACCGATTCCTCTGGGAATTGTCAATGGCTTCCACCATCCGAAGGAAAGCCGCCTCCCGGTCCACTTCTCTATATGAGAGGGTTCTAAAATTTGACGTTCCCTCGCCCGGATCCATTACCTTGTCTATTGAACATAAGTCATACATGGTTATATATAATTAGTATCTATTAACTACTAAGTTGACACCGGATCTTAGCTTATATCTTAATATAAATTTTATATACTATTCTATAACGATTATATATTTACAAACCGAATCAAGGGGATAAGAACAATCGCTCTCTCTCAGTCACGGTTGGTTTCTCTTGAATTTTAAGTGTATTAGAATTGATAAGCCTGGCTACTCCACTGTTTACAAGGATTAGAGTCAGTCTGAGGATCAACTGTGTACGTAACATCGGCATCAGTGACTTCCTCTTGAACAGTTTCCTTTTGAACCTCTTGGAGGGGAACATCTTCCATTTTTACTGGACATCTTCCACGAGATGAGTTAGCATGTCTTTTCCGAAGGAAATGACGAAAGACGAACATACTGCAAATACTGAAAATAGCTGTACCAACACAACTAATTATTATTATTGAGATTGGACTAGAAGGATTGAAGGTAGGCACGGTATTTGTTGTTGTATGAATTAAGCAATTCAAGTCATAAGTCGCTTCTTCGCTAGCTCTATCAGCCAATTTAATATCTAAGTCCGATTGAATCTTCAATTCCTCTTGTGTATGGGAGTTTTTTAATCGCCTCTGGAGAAGTCACAATTCTGTTTCATTCAGGATGTGTTCAATAGGCAGTATTACCAAACGTCGAGGTATTTCAGTTTGAATCTTAGATCACATATGAAAATGGGAGGTGAGGATGATGCCTGGCAGATATCCTACACACGCATTTCGTAACTTTATAATCCCCATATTATTTAATTTTTGAGTTGTAGAGAGGGATGAGGAGGATTTCCACTGTTGGGAAGAGCATTTGATAGCTAATAGGAGTGGTGTAGGGGTAGAATATACCCACATTCCCTGTTCGTCCACTCTTTTAAAAATCGGAGCATAACTTAAGACAATCTGTCTGGAACAAAGTTCCTTGACCTTCAGCTCATTGCCTGTGTATAACGAGTATTTGCAACTATATTGCGGAGCTCTTCGTATTGGCACGTCTACTGAACATATAGAAAACTGGGCTGTTTTACAAATGGTCAGTTCGTGCTGTTGTAATAACATGAATGATTGTCTATCCATAGACAAAGCTATGATAGGATATCCGGTTTGGAAATAGGCATATGCTTTCAATGAAGGTATATACGTAGGAAATTTTACAATCTCGTACATGTCGAAGTATCCGCTCGGGGTTCTCAAGGGTATTTTTGCAAAATTTCTCAACTTTCTGGGTAGAGCTACAGCAATGGTGGTGATCCATTGGTAGTATTTAAAAAGTGTATCTGTGTTGATTGGTTTGATCATTGCATATCCTTCCGGAAGTTGTAATTGTATTTCCTGGAGTGTGTGTAACATCACTGGCCGGGTTATAAAATAGGAGCTCAATCTCCCTTGTTCTAATACAGTGTTTTTCAACCTTCTTAAATATGCGACCCCTTTACAAGTTAAAAAAAATTCTGGCAACGCCCCCAGGGCCATATTAAAACTATATCAGTGATTTTAAAAACTACGTATTTAATTTTATTTCTGTTGAGACCTAAATATCAATCTAAAAACCAATTGTACTTTAAAATAAAAAACGCAAAGCCTTCTCACTGAAATTGTACTTTTATTTATTGTAGTGTAGGACCTACAAACATTTGTCTTTTTCTTTTACCCATTACTCCCGTGTAAGGCTTTGTGACTCCCTGGGGGTCGTGACCCACAGGTTGAAAAACACTGTTCTAATGTATCTATGGCTTCTCAAATTTCTGCTAGTTGCAGATGGAATTCTTGTATAGAGAATTCTATCCTTCTAATTACCACTTTGAATGCTAAATTATATCTGTATATCTGTATTAATCCATCAAAGGATTCCTGTCTTTGTACTAGTACATTTATCTGTTGCCTGTTTGCCTTACTAATCTTAAAAGTATTGTTCAGAAATGTTGCTTGCGATCTAAGCAGATAAACAACGCCTTCCTTGACTTGTTTTAATTGGGTGATTTCGGCATTCAAATTTTCTATGTCCTCTGTGGTAGCAGTACCAAAGAGAAATTTCAGAGCTTTACCTCCAAAATCTATTAGTCCTCTCTTCCTTTTCTTTGTTGAATTAATAGTTACCAGAGCTTTTAGTTCACTATATTCCTCTTTGTAGCCGAAAAAGGATGATTTTAACATGTCGAACCCGTTGGTGGGTAAAATCCATCTTGATTTATCCTTTCCTCTTATGTTAATTTATTGCTCACGTTGTAGAATCATATTTTCTAAATATGAAAGGGAATGGGTCAAGAATCGTATCTGACCTTCAAAGTGTTCGAAGTTAACATCATTGACCAAGGTCCAGTCATTGGACCTTGGTCAATGACGTCATAAAAAAGTTGCCCTAGTGAATGAAAACAGTTCCCTTTTTGAATTCGAACATTGCGTCGGGAGGTTTCAGCAGATTAAGGCCGAATAGACGAAAAAGAAAGATGATCTTTGAACATATCGATCTTGGCGTTATCATGTTAAAAATTTTTTTGTTCAACAATGATGTGATCTGAAAAATTAGCTTAAATTAGAATTATATACAAGGGGAAGGAAGTTTAACACACTAAAAGTCTAAGGGGAAGACGGACGGCTTGTGGTGGGAATAATATGTCTCGGATTACGANTTTTCGCGCGGACAAAAAATTCTGAAAAAATTTGGGGACCTAAAAAACATTTTAAAAATTAAAAAAAAAAAAAAATTTTGGGAAAGGGCCGAAAGTACCGAGTTTTATGAAACTCTATGGAACTTGCCCGAGGTTTTTCGGGATGTTGATTTTAAAGGGTTAAAATAAACTCGTCCCAAGGGTCAACCAGGGTTATTTTCTCATCTTTTATTAAACTGTCCGAAGGTTAACAGTTATTTCGTCACCAGTTTTAAACTCCTCTCTGGCTGTAGAGGGTTTTAATCGGTCAGCATGTACTTGTAACTTTCTTTTGGTCCTTAGATCTTCAATCTTCAATCTGGAAATTGACAGGACTGAACACTTCTATTATTTGGTATGGACCCGTCCATTGCAGTGCTAACTTTCACTTTAATCCCTGCAGTGCTAACTTTCACTTTAATCCCTGCAGTACTACGACTTCTTTTAATAAAACTCTTTCCCCTAATTGATAGTGAGGCGGCTTGTTTTGTTTTCGTTGTCTTTCTTGCCATTCTTTCACTGCTTGTTCGGCACAATCTTGGGCTGTTTGGTGAGCATTTATTATTCTCTGTTGTAATTCTGAAGCATAGTTATCTTCTACATTGTAAGAGATCATGGCAGGACTGGAAACCATTTGAAAGGGATAAGATCTTCCATATAGGAGATAGAACGGACTTTCGTCAGTAGATGCATGTGTCGCAGTATTATATGCAAACAGGGCATAAGGGATCCACTCGTCCCAGTCTCTTTGATCTTTAGCTACATAATGAGATAAGGTATCAATAAGAATTTTATTGAATCGTTCGATGACTCCATTACATGCCGGGTGATAAGCGGTTGTAAGTAATCTTTTGATTTGAAGCAAGTCACACACCTCTTTAAACATTTTGGAGACCAAATTTGATCCTCGGTCAGTCAATAGCTGAGTTGGGATTGAATATCTTAGTATAATATTCGTAACAAAGGCTTTTGCAATCGTTTTACTGCTAATTTCTGGCAATGGGATTGCTTCTACATATCGACTAAAGTGGTTGACAAAAACAATATACTGTACTTATTTCCATTTGTTGTGCTGGATAAAGGTCCTATGATATCCATCGCTGTTTGTTCAAACAAATAAGTCAAGGGTGAAAACAACTGCAACTCTGCTTGTGTTTTTCGACCTTGTCTCCGATGTTTCACGCAACTCTGACAACTTTGACAATAACCCTTTATCTCCTTTTTCATTTCTGGCCAATAAAACAGTTTTTCTATTTTACTTTGCATCTTCATCTCTCCTAAGTACCCAGCAATAGGATTATTGTGAAAGGTATACATATTGTATTCCTTCAGACTAGCAGGGATAACTATCTGTTCCCATAAATTTGTTCATTGTCTATTTACTCCTTTATGACAGAACGTCCTCTTTGTTTAAATAAAATTCTTTCAATTCTAAACCGTTAAATTTTCCTGAGGTGTTTCCATCCTTTATTGCTTGGATAACAGATTTCCATCGCGTATCTCATTGTTGTAATTTACCTATCTGCACCGTCATAAAGATAGGTTCTACCTCGCTTATTTGTCTAATCGGAATGCGACTTAATGCGTCCGCATTGAGATGAGCACTTCCGACTTTATGAATAACCTCAAAGTCAAACTCTTGGAGGAAGATAATCCATCTAGACAATCTAGAGTTTGTAGTAGAGTCCTTACAATTAATTAACCACCGGAGGGGTTGATGATCTGTAATTATGGTAAATTTTCGGCCATACAAATAAGGCTTAAAGTATCGTACAGCCCATACTGTGGCTAGACATTCTTTTTCTGTCGTGCTATAATTTAATTCAGGTTTTCTTAATAAATGAATTGCATAAGCGATTGGTTTCTCCCTTCTGTTTTCCTCTTGTGATAACACTGCTCCGAGAGCTGAATTCAACGCATCGGTTGCCAATATAAACGGTTTCGTAAAGTCTGGTGATTTTAATAGATTATCACCTTCGCTCCTAGAGGTGATAATTCTCTTTAATTCGTCGAAACTTTCTTGTTGCTTCTGACCCCATTCGAAGATTGAATCCTTTTTCAACAGATCAGTGAGAGGCTTAGCAATTTTTGCATATGAGTCTACATGTCTCCTATAGTAACCTGTCAGTCCTAAGAAAGCTCTGATCTCTTGTTCATTTATAGGTCTGGGGAAATTTAGGACGCATTGTATTTTGTCTGGATCAGGTTTTATGCCTTCCGCTGAGATCTCATGGCCTAAAAATTTTATTTGGCATTGTAAAAAGTGACATTTTTTTGGTTTTAACTTAATACCTGCAGTAGCTAGTCACTTAAAGATTTGTTCTAAGCGTCGGAGGTGACTGGGAAAGTCTGGACTAAACGTTAGAATAGCATCCATGTAAACTAGGCATGTTTTACCTTTAAGTCCATGTAAAACGAAGTCCATCATTCTTTCAAAAACCACACAGGAGGTTCTAAGTCCCATTGGAATTCTATTCCATTGATAATGTCCATCAGGGGTAGAAAAGGCGGTCTTCTCCTTATCACCTATGCTTAATTGATAGAACCCCGAAAGTGTATCCATGGTCAAGAAGTATTTCACTTCTCCCATTAAACTAAGAGACTCCTGTACTAAAGGAAGTGAGTATGGATCAACTTTAGTTATCTTATTTAATTTCCTGTAATCCATGACAAGTCTTTGGCCCCTGCATTTCTTCTTTACTAGCAAAGCAGCCGAGCTCCAATTTTGATTTCCGTGGCTAGCGACTATAATAGCATTGCATACGTCTGTACGTCTTCGTCCCTTTTCTGAACACATGCATAAAACTTATTAAATCTGAGTGTATAAGGAATTTGTCCAAATCTCTTAATCATTATTTTTTTAAACGTATCATAATCTCCTACATCTTTTATCTGTCTGTCTTTCTGAACAAATTCCCGCGCTAAACCTGCAAGCATTTGGGCTTTTGACCAAGCCGCTATCTTTGTTATATCAGCGAGAGACTCAAAAAAATCCGTTATTCAAGTACCATCTGGATCACCCATAAATACCGGCAGCAGTGGAATCATTCTACCAATGCCTCCTAAGGCCGTTGAGTTACCTGCCGGAATCGCACGAGGGGATTCGTTTTCCATTCTGCCCAATTTATTATTCTATTTGTGAAGACTCATACTATAGCCATTTAGCCTTATCGAATAAGACCCCACTCCTGGAAAACCAATATGTGAGAATCGGGGTTTAAGCATCAAAGCTTAAACTGTTTTCCAACAACAGGAAGGCGAGTCCTGCTCACAGGATCAGTGGATGGCAATTTAAGAAGGCGAAAATCAAGTGGGAGGTCGCGGATAAGTCAATAAGGTGTTGGCGAGTACGAGTAAACACACATGTTTAAGATATTATATAAATTTAATTAGTAAACGCTATACAAAAAGGATACAAGTAATAAGATTAATAATAATAATAATTTCAAACCAAAGTTACAAAAAGTATCTCGCGTATTTCTGACAGAGGAGAGTCTCTGATCCTCATTAATATTTATTTCTTAATTAGCCTTAGTCCACCTGAGAGAAAAGAGAGAGTTCTACTTACTAAGTTGTAGATAGTAGAATCTTGCTTAGTTGTCCGTCACCAGCGGTCAGTGTTTAAAGGCAGTTGATCCATTGTTTCCTGATGTCTTGAAGGCCACCTCGATAACGGCCATGAGCCCTCTTTATACCAAATTTGAGGGGGTGAGAACTGACATTATTAATGATTTATACGCACACCTGTTAGTGTGTTGATGTCTGGATCTAGCTAGTACGGACCACTGGCACAGAGAACTTTGTTTAATTTATTGATATTGGTATCTAGAAGATATGATTTTATAATATAAATTTCTATAGGTTTGACAGCTCTCGTCCATAAATTAACATTCAACTGACAATAATTTCTGTAAACTGGTCAACATTCTAGATATTGTTTATATCAAACGTCATGTTTGACTACGAACGAGACAATTTATTGCTGTAACCACGTGTCATGTGCAATCAAAGAGGGGATAAGAAACATCTCATATTCCCTTGTTGTTGATATTAACGTCTATAGAATTACCGTTAAACAAATGGAGGAGATTTCTTTCAATGATATTTTAACATTCCTTTTTTTATTCGAGGAGAATGTCTCGGTCATTGACCACAGAAGGCCCCCTTTTTCCCTTTACAAAGAAAATCCCGAGTTTTATACTGTTCTAAAACAGAAAAAGGATTTCAGACCTTGTCATTACACTAATTATAAATTATTATATAAATTTCACGTATAAATAATCAGGGGCTTTTTTTTCTATAATCTTTAATGGAAAGATGCGTTTTAGAAACTTTTACCATCCGTTTCCCACAAAAGTTAAAAACGGGAGAATATTGAATATTAACTAACTGTCAACAAGTCCTTTCCCCCTCGCATTGACCCATGAAAATAATGAAAATATGTTAAAACAATCAATTGTAAAGTGTGAGAAAGTTGACACCCCTTTTAGTTCTTCGCCCGAGTTAACTCAGGCAGGTTACATAGAGTTACATAAAACTCGGTCCTTTCGGCCCCCCAAAAAATTTTTTGTTTTTTTTTTTAATTTTTGGAATGTTTTTTAAGTCTTCTAATTTTTTCAAAAATTTTTTCCCATGCGAAAACATTTTATCGTGATTTTAATCTACCTTTAATGACGCACGATTAACGCTTAATTGATTTTTAATGAGATTTTTTTATCAAATTTAATTCATTGTTCTAAAGTTGTAGTGCATGGATTTTCCTTCGGTAAAGTTATTTAAAGCTAGTTTCTGATGTCAAAAACAACCTCCAATAGTTTTTTAATTAATAGATTTTATTATATATACGTTTAATTAAGTCAGGGGGGTTGGAAATCGCAATTAAAATTTGAATTTTTTGAAATTATTTAAAAATATACGGCCAGCTAGTATTCACCCTACTATAAACCCTTTGCCTCCCGAGACTTCTATGAGAATGTCCTGGGAAATCAACTCCAGTTGTGTTCAAGGTCATCCAGCTGTGTAAACAATGACTCATCGGTGTCAAATTTCGCAGAAAGGCGAGATAAAGGAAAATAAAGTTTGAAGCTTTTTCTTCAAAATTAACGCATTTCTTTCGTTTTTTTTCAGTTTTAAGTATTTTTTATGTTTAATTACATTAATATCAAAAATTGCTGGGAACTAAAGGTGTTAACTTAGTCCATGGGGAAATCTAAAAACAATTGGAGGATATACTAACCCTTTCAATCGACTTTGTTTAACTTTCATCGTCCAGCTATGACACCTTTGATGTGTCATCGCTGCCAAACAAACAATCACCTGACCAAATTCCCACACCAAATGGGGATATAATGGCTAGAAACCCATTCATCAGGAGTGATTGTTCTACAAGGAGCTAACTTTTTACTTTTGTCATCTCCAACACGAGCAAGTTCCTATGGATTTATCTCTAACTTTATGAAGGGAGTAAGTGTCATCCCAAGCATCTCCCTGGATAATTAGTGTACCGTAAACTGGGGTTACTTTGCACCTCTCTGATCAAATGACTGTTATGAATCATTTTGCATTGTGTTAGTTAGGTAAATATGATGTTATTTTCTTGAAATTTACCAATATTTTCACTCCCAGGTCAAGAGTTTAAAAATACTCCCACTTTTTTCTTGTACTAAAGTTACCCTTTAAGTAGGACAAAGGGGTAACTTTAGGACAAAATGTTTTCACTTTTTTTTAACAGTATAAAAATAGGATTGTCACAACATTAGACTGTCACCAATCTTTATTTATCAAAAATAGTCCCCTGCATTAAGCAGGGTCTTACTGTGTATATATATATATAGGCTATATATATATTATATACATATCAATCATATTAGTGGTGAAAAAAATTAAACCAAATTGTATATAATGTTCAGGATAGATAATTTACTAGTTCTTTTACACAATAAATATCCTGGCGACTTATCTTTTTGGGTGGCTTGCATTACATCTACTGTATAGTCCAGGATGTTGTCCTTATTTGGCCATTTCCAATTACAACCCACTTTTCTCCATAGCCCTTGAGTATCCAACCCTTTTCTGTTTTAATATCAGTCCAGGATAAAGAACACATTCATAATTTATTAAAACAAATAGATTACAACATGAGTTAAAACATTTATCATTGATTGATTGTAGAGGAGTGAAAGGATGCTTGTTTTCCATTTCCTCAGGTACTCACATCATACTGTCATCAGACTCCGCGTAAGGAACCATTTCCAAGTTCATGTCATCACTTTAAGTGTACTCATCTGATGTATCCTTCTTCCTTAAAGCTCACTGGGTGACTTTGCGACAGTCCCAAAGTTGCCCCTTATATGTTATATTTTTCAATAAAGTATTTTTTATATCCAAATAATTATTTTTAAATATTATCAAACACTTGATTATAATAGATAATAAATATTTTGAAATAAATAACTATTTTTGTTTTCAATAGAAACTGTACTCAACAAATGATAGTTTCTGGAGCATGTGTTGATCAAACGAAACATAACCTAACTAAAAATGGCTGCCTAAAAGGCAGGAAAACAAACAGAGCTTCTGGGCCTTGACATTATGTGGCAGCACAGTAGGCGTATTAGAACCAATGACAACAGTTTGTATATCATAGAAATGGCATTGGCATTTAATTTAAATTCATTCAAAACAGTGATTGTCCTAAAGTTACCCTACATGTCACAAAGTAACCCCAATTTACGGTATGAGGTTACATCTCCTGCTGCACAGAGGTATGATAAATGACTGATCTTATGTATGCTCTCTCTCTCTCTCTCAGGCAGAAATAGTTATCGGTAGGCATAACACTTGCTTGGTAGTAATAATGCTCTCTAGTGATATTGTACTAGATTGAGGGATTGAGGGAGCTGTATTCCTTGTGTTTAGATTTGTGTCTGTAATCTTTTAGTTTTTATTAAATTTGTTGAATTTTTTTTCAATGGTTGATCTTTCTCTGGTATCACAGATGTCTTATCAATGACCTTACTAAACCCTCCCACTCACTTAAATCATAAGAAGATAAGAAGTAGAAACTAGAAGAATGCCATCCAGTGACAATGTGAGTGGGTTCTACCAACTTGTTGCCAATAAAAGGGATTTTGAGTTTGGCACTCTGTAAACTCCCCCTGGCTTTTCACACTATTATGTTTTTACATTTAAAATAAATTTAAAGTTTAAAAATATAAAAGTGCAATGAGAAAACGAGAAATAATTTTCTTGAAATTACACATTTATTTATTTCAAAATCAATAACTTTCAACATACCTTTTGATTTGTCATCATGATTTTCTTTCATTCTATCAGTATCAGTATCATCATCATCATCATCACTATCTCTTTTTGTAAGATTCTAAAAAAAATTTATTTATTTANCGAGTTTTATACTGTTCTAAAACAGAAAAAGGATTTCAGACCTTGTCATTACACTAATTATAAATTATTATATAAATTTCACGTATAAATAATCAGGGGCTTTTTTTTTCTATAATCTTTAATGGAAAGATGCGTTTTAGAAACTTTTACCATCCGTTTCCCACAAAAGTTAAAAACGGGAGAATATTGAATATTAACTAACTGTCAACAAGTCCTTTCCCCCTCGCATTGACCCATGAAAATAATGAAAATATGTTAAAACAATCAATTGTAAAGTGTGAGAAAGTTGACACCCCTTTTAGTTCTTCGCCCGAGTTAACTCAGGCAGGTTACATAGAGTTACATAAAACTCGGTCCTTTCGGCCCCCCAAAAAATTTTTTGTTTTTTTTTTTAATTTTTGGAATGTTTTTTAAGTCTTCTAATTTTTTCAAAAATTTTTTCCCATGCGAAAACATTTTATCGTGATTTTAATCTACCTTTAATGACGCACGATTAACGCTTAATTGATTTTTAATGAGATTTTTTTATCAAATTTAATTCATTGTTCTAAAGTTGTAGTGCATGGATTTTCCTTCGGTAAAGTTATTTAAAGCTAGTTTCTGATGTCAAAAACAACCTCCAATAGTTTTTTAATTAATAGATTTTATTATATATACGTTTAATTAAGTCAGGGGGGTTGGAAATCGCAATTAAAATTTGAATTTTTTGAAATTATTTAAAAATATACGGCCAGCTAGTATTCACCCTACTATAAACCCTTTGCCTCCCGAGACTTCTATGAGAATGTCCTGGGAAATCAACTCCAGTTGTGTTCAAGGTCATCCAGCTGTGTAAACAATGACTCATCGGTGTCAAATTTCGCAGAAAGGCGAGATAAAGGAAAATAAAGTTTGAAGCTTTTTCTTCAAAATTAACGCATTTCTTTCGTTTTTTTTCAGTTTTAAGTATTTTTTATGTTTAATTACATTAATATCAAAAATTGCTGGGAACTAAAGGTGTTAACTTAGTCCATGGGGAAATCTAAAAACAATTGGAGGATATACTAACCCTTTCAATCGACTTTGTTTAACTTTCATCGTCCAGCTATGACACCTTTGATGTGTCATCGCTGCCAAACAAACAATCACCTGACCAAATTCCCACACCAAATGGGGATATAATGGCTAGAAACCCATTCATCAGGAGTGATTGTTCTACAAGGAGCTAACTTTTTACTTTTGTCATCTCCAACACGAGCAAGTTCCTATGGATTTATCTCTAACTTTATGAAGGGAGTAAGTGTCATCCCAAGCATCTCCCTGGATAATTAGTGTACCGTAAACTGGGGTTACTTTGCACCTCTCTGATCAAATGACTGTTATGAATCATTTTGCATTGTGTTAGTTAGGTAAATATGATGTTATTTTCTTGAAATTTACCAATATTTTCACTCCCAGGTCAAGAGTTTAAAAATACTCCCACTTTTTTCTTGTACTAAAGTTACCCTTTAAGTAGGACAAAGGGGTAACTTTAGGACAAAATGTTTTCACTTTTTTTTAACAGTATAAAAATAGGATTGTCACAACATTAGACTGTCACCAATCTTTATTTATCAAAAATAGTCCCCTGCATTAAGCAGGGTCTTACTGTGTATATATATATATAGGCTATATATATATTATATACATATCAATCATATTAGTGGTGAAAAAAATTAAACCAAATTGTATATAATGTTCAGGATAGATAATTTACTAGTTCTTTTACACAATAAATATCCTGGCGACTTATCTTTTTGGGTGGCTTGCATTACATCTACTGTATAGTCCAGGATGTTGTCCTTATTTGGCCATTTCCAATTACAACCCACTTTTCTCCATAGCCCTTGAGTATCCAACCCTTTTCTGTTTTAATATCAGTCCAGGATAAAGAACACATTCATAATTTATTAAAACAAATAGATTACAACATGAGTTAAAACATTTATCATTGATTGATTGTAGAGGAGTGAAAGGATGCTTGTTTTCCATTTCCTCAGGTACTCACATCATACTGTCATCAGACTCCGCGTAAGGAACCATTTCCAAGTTCATGTCATCACTTTAAGTGTACTCATCTGATGTATCCTTCTTCCTTAAAGCTCACTGGGTAACTTTGCGACAGTCCCAAAGTTACCCCTTATATGTTATATTTTTCAATAAAGTATTTTTTATATCCAAATAATTATTTTTAAATATTATCAAACACTTGATTATAATAGATAATAAATATTTTGAAATAAATAACTATTTTTGTTTTCAATAGAAACTGTACTCAACAAATGATAGTTTCTGGAGCATGTGTTGATCAAACGAAACATAACCTAACTAAAAATGGCTGCCTAAAAGGCAGGAAAACAAACAGAGCTTCTGGGCCTTGACATTATGTGGCAGCACAGTAGGCGTATTAGAACCAATGACAACAGTTTGTATATCATAGAAATGGCATTGGCATTTAATTTAAATTCATTCAAAACAGTGATTGTCCTAAAGTTACCCTACATGTCACAAAGTAACCCCAATTTACGGTATGAGGTTACATCTCCTGCTGCACAGAGGTATGATAAATGACTGATCTTATGTATGCTCTCTCTCTCTCTCTCAGGCAGAAATAGTTATCGGTAGGCATAACACTTGCTTGGTAGTAATAATGCTCTCTAGTGATATTGTACTAGATTGAGGGATTGAGGGAGCTGTATTCCTTGTGTTTAGATTTGTGTCTGTAATCTTTTAGTTTTTATTAAATTTGTTGAATTTTTTTTCAATGGTTGATCTTTCTCTGGTATCACAGATGTCTTATCAATGACCTTACTAAACCCTCCCACTCACTTAAATCATAAGAAGATAAGAAGTAGAAACTAGAAGAATGCCATCCAGTGACAATGTGAGTGGGTTCTACCAACTTGTTGCCAATAAAAGGGATTTTGAGTTTGGCACTCTGTAAACTCCCCCTGGCTTTTCACACTATTATGTTTTTACATTTAAAATAAATTTAAAGTTTAAAAATATAAAAGTGCAATGAGAAAACGAGAAATAATTTTCTTGAAATTACACATTTATTTATTTCAAAATCAATAACTTTCAACATACCTTTTGATTTGTCATCATGATTTTCTTTCATTCTATCAGTATCAGTATCATCATCATCATCATCACTATCTCTTTTTGTAAGATTCTAAAAAAAATTTATTTATTTAGAATTATAAAACTCATAAAATTAATTGAATAATTAGGCAAATATACCTTCATCTCAGTTAATTTTTTAATAAAATAATGTATTTGATCTTTTATACATTTTTCTTCTTTTTCTAGTGCCAAAATCTAACAAAATACATTTTTGGTAAATTTTTTATGCCATTTTAAATATATGAATAAAATAGAAAAATATAATATTTTACCTTATCTTCAAGGTTAAACCAACTTTTAACAAAAGTCACAGGTTTATCAAATTCTTGTTTTTGATACCAATCCGTTAATCTTATTTTCATAGATTCTGTTGTTGTATCCAAATTATACAGAAATTCCTACAAAAAAAAAAATTATTTATAAATAAATCACGGAAGCACTTTACTTCCTTAACAATAGTTGCATAAGAGAGAGTTTGAAAAAGTAGCTTCAATAAAATAGTTAGTGTAAAATTGCCATTACTTATAATAATGCACTTTTGTATTAATATCTTGATTTCAGACCACTAATTTCATTCTTTTACTAGTAACAGGTGTTACATTTTTTTCTAAATTAGAAAATACTTCTCTGTCAATTAATATTAAAAAAATCAATGAATTTTCTTATTTTATCTTCACAAAATTTCTTCTACAACCACAATACAAAAGAAAAAAGAAAATTCTGTTAATATATTTAAATGGACAACTTGTATTTTTTATATACAGGATATTTTGTAATATTGGAAGACTAGCAAATGAGCCCAGTGTTACCTGGCAAAAAAATAACAACAACAAAGATTAAGATTATTAGATTATTTTGTACTTCTAACCCTTCTATTATATTATATTACAGCACTTAATTTATGTAATAAAACCTTCATAGTTATTATATAGTTATATAAGGGTTTAAAACACCAAGTGACCAATCTAACACATTTAAAAAATTTTTAAATTGTGTTAGATTGGTCACTTGGTGTGATAAACTCTTACTTAAGATTTCTTAATTATATGAATCAAATACTATAGCATAAGAAACATTAAAACAAAAACCATATAAAGAGTTTGTTATTTCGGCCTACCATTATCACATTTATCATGATACTCAAATGGTATTAATTGGCACAATTTCATCGGTCAAGTAGACAGCATTTTTCTTAATGTTAGCTCTGACAAACTGTACTGTTCACAGCTGAATATCAAATAGTAATAAGCTAACAAATCAAGTTTCATAAAAAACTGGACCAAATATTTAAACTCGGCACCCTTGAAAACCACATAAAACATATTTTATGCAGGTTGGTAACCTTGTATCATGTAATTTTCCTATTCAAATGCCACCATACCACTGGGTTTGATAGGAGGAAGAGGTCATTGATCTCCTCCTGGAAGAGAGGATGGTCAATGATTTCAAATATTAATAATAGGTCAGTATTTTAATTAGTAAAGTGATCCATGTTGGATAGGTTGTGATGGCCTCACACATGATTGAACTTGCCAACCTTAACATCCAAAATACTTCACATGACTTGTTTATGTGATTTCAATTAAAATTTTATACAGAATGAAGTTAAATAGATGACTGGTATCTTGTTATCAGGCAAAGTGTGATTTACAAGGGTAACACTGAACTAAAATTGAAAGCATATATTTTTAAAATTTGTTTTTACCTCATTCAAAAGTTTTCTTTGTATCAATAATTGAAGATTTTTTATTTTGCACTCTTCATATCTTCTTTGCATTTTATTTTCTTTATCTATAAAATAATTAATGTTCTGATAAGTTACTGTTAAATATTTTGTAACTTTATCCAAAATAATTTGTGTATTATTTTGAGGTAGAAAATATTCTGACATGAAATACTTACTTATAAAAATAATTAAGTTATAAATATGAAAAATTTTACATAGAGATGACAATCTCTAGTCCAATTTGCTTAATATCTAATCAATTAGTTAACCTTATAGTAGCTTGATAAGAATCTGGCCATAAAATTCGGTTAGTAAAATATTTTACAATTTGATTTATTATCAAATTTGAAACCCAAGTCAATTAATACTAAAATTATTAAAAGTTAATATTTACAATATCTATTTCTGATAAACATTGAGTAAAAAACAGAAAATTATTTATAATATTAAAAATTTCAAGATCTCACCACTTATATCAGCTTCATTGTTTGTACATAATTCTGTACTCTTTAACATATTTCTTCTCCTTGTTTCTAAATTTTCTAATTCATCAATGTTATATTTTCTTCTTCTTTTTTCAAGTTGATAACTAAAATATTTTTATTTAAAGAAAAGCTACTTGCACATTTAATTCTTTAAAACAATTTTGAAGTAATACTTACTCTTTTAATAAATTAAATACTTTAAAATCTGTATTGTTGGCCCGTACGTATGGACTTTCATTTCGCCACTTTTCATATAAAATATTATCAATTGAAATTCCAGTTTTTCTATAAAAATTTGTATTGTAATTTACATTTATATATAATATTGTAATTTTTAATAATTTTATTTTATTCTAAATGCATTTACTTTATTGGATTTGTGTCTAACATGAAATATCAACAACCTATGGATCACAGGATAAATACCGAAATTTAACTGTCTATGTAATTGGAAACTGTTGTCATTTTTTTATTGTTCCTTCAAACTATTTTTTATGGAACTAGTGTTGACAGAGTGCATGATTTAGTATAATTTGATGTGTATAATTTAAAATAGATATTAATTCAAATTAAAAACTAAACATTTTCTATCATGAGGCACTGTTCTATGCATTCTATAGGACTAATTGATTCTAATTGAATATCAGATTTCTCAGTCAATTTTCTCTGTATTTCTAGTCAATTGTATCAATTTTAAGATGAGTGGGAAAATAACAGACTGAGAAAACGTATAATTTATCAGAGGAGAATGATTTAAAGATAGAATCTTATGTACAATACTATTATACATTGTAATCATGAAGTCCCTCTGCAGTGGGCCACACCGACGTGGCTCAGCAGAGTGGTGATGTCATAACTTACTTTAATTCTTTCAATGCACTGTCTGTCTGTGAGATTATTACTTCATTTCTGGAAGCTCTCTCTCATTTTCCTGCCCACTGCGGAGGGACTTGAAAAACGCACTGTATAATCCAGTTTGTTGTTATAAAATTTATGTAGAAAAATTATAAGTAATTTTAATTATCTAAATTATTTTCATTTAAAAATATTGAAATAAAAAAAATGACAAAGAATATGTTGTTTTTATCTGTTTTGAATGTGAAACTATCAAATAAAAAACAACAGCGTTAAGCCATATTAAATTAATAATAGCAATTTAAAACATATTTTACCATTAATAAATTGAAAAACTTTACAAATCATTACCTTCTCTGTAAATAATCTAATTCTTCTAAATATATTTCTTCCTTAGCTTTAAACTAAATTTAAAAAATATAAATTTTGTTTAAAAACCAACAATTTGATTAATTTAATTAGTTTTTAAAAAATATTTCTTACATGATCACTATCTTTAGGAAATTTGGTAAAAATTGGATATGTTCCTTTTGGAAGTGGCATAAAATGCCCTATAATAAAATCAGGTTTTAAATTAAATGGAGTATTTTCCATCAAGATATAAGCTTTATGAATAATTCTTTCAGCTGAAATATTAGCTTCCTGATCAAAATAAGGCTAAATTAAAATAAAATTTATTTTAGTCTAAATAAACATCATATCACAAATAAAACTAATCAATTAAACTTGAAACTAGACTATGTTTAAATATAGAATATCAAATTTGATTAAATCCTATGAGAATTTAAAACATTTAATATTGAGTAACATTTAATTACTACATTAAATTACATTTAATTACTTTTCAATAATGATAAGTATCTTTTGGAAATGAAGTATATTAAACACAGAAAATCTTGTTAATTCAAACTTGGATAGTTCATAACTGTACTATTTGTCCCAGCTGGGAATATATAGGCTTATATGTTAAGGAATTCAGTTAGTTCTAAATATAGCTACTTTGAAATTCAAAGTGAAAATTCTGTCTGAACTGTGATATGCATATACTGTATTAACTTGTACATTTAGATTGAAGTTAACATGCCTCCAAAGTGGGTGCTACTGTCCTCAGGGGTTAGTGAGCAAATCTAAAGAGCAAAAAAGAAGCAAGGGGAGGCAGAGGGCACTGGAGGCAGGACCAAGCGGTGCCATACCTTTTTCTTTCCTTCATTAATGCTTTCCAGATGTTGATAACAATGTATGGTAAGGACACAAGTACAAGGTTCATAGAAATGCTTTCCTAAGAATATTTCTAAGCTTTTCTCACACACAGGAAAACCAGTTGGAGGTACTGAATATAAGTTTATGAAACCAAGGGAACAGTGGCTCAAAAAAGTTTTGGAATCACTGTTTTAAGTAACACATTTTCAAGTGTCAACTTACCCATTGACAATCCTTTTTCTCTTATCTTGTAAAATATGGCTGGGTTTTGGGGTTTCAAGATTGGGCTACAAGTAGCAGATTGAGATATTTGTAGGGCTCTATGCTACTAGATTTAGGCAACTTACAACTTTTTTGACTACTTAAAAAATAATTTGGATTACATTTTGAGAATTTCACTTTATTTTTTTATAAAAACTATCTGACAATCAGTGAGGTTTTCACTGGACATAAAAATAAACTGCAGGTAAACAGCATATTATTATTATTAATTAATAAAAGTAGTATTCTTATATGTAACTGCATTCCATTTACTTAATAAATTACATCAGTTACAAGGCATTTGGCATAATACAAAGTCACAATTATTTTATCCCTTGAATTTCGAATTAATGAGATTTTCAGTACTCCTGTACCAAATATAGATTTTCTGTTTTGATCTACCATTGTTATTTTTAAACAGTTTCAAGCTTATTTATATATTCTCAAACATCATTCATTAAAACTTGATTCTATATTGATTAAAATTATATAAGAAAAGATAAAAATAAATTGAAAATAGTAGATTGTGTTATTATACATTGTATTCTAAATAATTTCAGAATTTTTTTATTATTATTAAGTTAACATAAACAGATTTTCAGATGGAACAATGAAAGGTTTTTAATAATTTCTTTAACGTATACAATAAATTTTAGCATGATATTTCATAATTGTGTATATACAAAGTGCTACTCAAAAGTTCCAAGAATGTGCCATCCAAAAAGTAAATACTGTATGTTCTAATTGCCACTGTCACATTACTGGAATTGTATGTGACAATTCCAGCAATCTTTCCAGAATTGAAAGCACTCCTAAAAGTCTACTTTCATTAGTGTTGAGGAGTTGTTCAATTACATTTAGATCTCTTCAATGGAATCAAAATGTGTTCTTTCAACTGGAGTTTCATTTTAAGGAAGAGAGAGATTCACAGGGGACAAAATGAGGTAAGGGGTGGGAATGGTAATCATGTTTTTAGTAACAAACTGCCTCACAATAAGTAAAGTATTTGAAAGTACATTGTTATGACGCAACACCCAATTTTTGTTATTCTATCTCTCAGGCCATTTATGCCTCACATATCTCAAAACAGTGCAATAAAATTTCCCATTGACACTCTGACTGGGAACAACAAATTTCCTATGCACAATTCCTTCAATGTCAAAAAAATGATTAACCTTGACTTAATTTTGCACTTTTTTTTTAGCCACAGAGAAGATGACTGTTTTGTTTTGAGTCATAAAAATGTATCTGTTATGACTTTGGAGAGGAAGTTAGGGTCATCTTTAACATTTTGTTGAAGCTTGAAGCAAACTTAAACCTGATGATCTCACTGGTTATTGTTCAAGAGATGAGAAATAAACTTTACTACAATATGCATTGGCATTACAACAATCTGATGCATTCACAGATTTTATGGATAGTTAGCCTTCTGTTTTCAAAGATAATCTCACACACTTTTGCAATTTATTCTGGAGTTGAGTTGTGCATGTTATGGTTGCCTCAAACACTCATCATCTTTAACAGATGCCCAGCCCTTTTTGAATCAAACCACTCAAATGTTCTTGTTTGGCTTAATGCTTGATCAGCAAGAGCCTCTTTTAGTATTTGGTGAGTTTCTGATGCAGATTTTTTGAGTTTAAAACAAAATTTAATGCAAACCCTTTGCTCCTTTGCATCAGCCATTTTGCAGAATCACAAAAACACAGTGTAAATGAAAAGTCTAAATCTTGGGAACTCAAATAATTAGAGAGATGACATTTAGCAGGTTTTTTTCTTAATATATCTAGAGATGCCTAGCAGTACACGTCTGTACACGTCTGTACACAGTCTATAGATGCAGGTCATTTGAATTCTTGGGACTTTTGAGTAATTGTATTTTTTTCATTGAAAAATGTATAATACTGTATATATTTAAAATTAAATTTAATTACCTTCATTTCTTCTACTGTTGTACATCTTATTAATATATTTCTTATAATAATATTGAATGATATTACAACAAATAACATAAAAGACAAATTATTTGAAAAAATGTGATCCCAAAGTTGAAGCCAGTGTTTATGAGGTAGTATTTTGGAGAATGAATTTTGCAGTAATGTCCATGCATAAAGCTGAAATATGTTATTTAAAACTTATTTTAATAAATTTTTATTAATAAAAATATGCGTATCAATTTATATTAAAATAATCAGTAACTTACATCTGCTTTAACTCCGACATTTGCAAAATGTTGTAGTAATTGTTTATCGTGATGTGCTAATAGATTTTCTATAGCACTTAAAATACTAACAGGTAACAGTGGAAAATATAAAAACCAATTCTGGTACCAATTACCTAAATAAATAAATATTTAAAGAGTTCCAATAATGTGTTGTTGTTATTACTGTATCTCAATGTACTGTAAGATATGTGAATGATCCTTGTTTTAGTTTAATTAAGCTATCTCAGTTACTTTTTTAATTTTATTTATATTGATAGAGTTTTCCCAGACTACTTCAAAAATTTTATTATTCTTCAAAATTTTCTTAAATATTTGACTTATATTTCCAAGAATAATATCAGAAAAATATTAATGTTTAAAACATCTGCAAGATTATGGCAATGGAAAAAGGGTAGCATTGTAATTAGAGGGTATCACTTTACTATCATATAACCACTCATACATGGGATATATTCCCCTGTAAAGTCAGACTATTGTATTATCTGAATATCTGAAGTCATTCTGGATTGGGTGGAAATGGTCCAGGTAATTGGAAACACCAACATAAAAATATGTGGACCAGAATTCCTTATGATGAATTCAGGGACTCTACCAACAGAGAAAAAGAATGAGGAGTTCAGCATTCTGTATTTGGACAAAGCACTGGGAAGAAATAAATGCCTAGTTGACTAATTGGAAAGACTAGATGACCATGCTAAATGGAAGATGCCAGACCACAGAGGATGCAGACATTGTATTTAACACTTTTGAAGATACCTACATCCAATTATAACTCTCCATAAACTGGTAACTTAGTAACTGTCATGTGTAACTACATGCTCTAATTAATGAACCTTTTTTTGTTAATCTGTTGAGTACAGGTTCATGTGAATCCATCCGGATTCACATAAAGCGATATCTTTCACCAAGGTGTATCATCACAGATTATATGAGGAATCACAGATCAGCCCCATCTTGAGCCAAGATCATTTGACATTGTCACAAAACAAAGAAATCTAGGAACCTCAAATTAAATTGTATAAATTATAAACAATTAATGTAAGTATGTAACAAGAAATTATGGTATATTAAGTATTATTATAACTCTGTATATTATCAATGTCCATTGGAAAATAAATAAATCTTGAGGAAATTGATAAATTATTGCTGCTAAATCAAGGATCATTCAAAAAGATGAAATATTATTTAAAACTTACATAAAACAGATAATATTACTTCAAAACAATTCAACAAATTACTATGAAAAATCTTCACAAATGGAAATATCATTAAAGGAACGTAAGAGGAATCACCAAAAAATGGACACCAATGAAGCAGTGCTGATAATAATCTATTAAAAAATTGTTTAATAAAATAACGTTTCATATATAAATCTAAATTAATATAATTCTAATAAAGTTTTACCTTTGTAATGCTCTAAATGTACTATCACTTGTACTATTTTGAGAAATTTGTTGGCAAAGTTGAGCACATGATGGATGCTCTCCCTTCTCAATTAGCATTTCAAATGAATCATAGTTGCCAGGCAATTTCAAGAGTTTAAACCAAATAAGAAATCTAAACAAAGTGGTAATAAAACTTAAATAAAAATTAGTTATTGATGTAAATACTTTATCCAATCAAACATAAACATAAAATTAAAAAAATTCTGTATTAATGACAGAAATATCTTCATTATCTTCAAATATCTTATTATAACTTCATTTTACATTCCTGGCTGTTATGTATATATAACAAAGAAAAGTATTGAAACTATGTCAAATTTGACCCTCCAAGCTTTTGCATATCTTCACATTTTGAGACCCCTGAACCCAAAAAGTCAAAACAAAGGGGGGGAATTTTGCACGTATATGTGTGTCAGCATCTATTTTGTTTAATATCTCAAGATGGGATGAAGATTAAGTAACAAAATTTAGCATGGTAGCTTGTGTATAAGGAGCACTGATGCTATTAAATTTTGGTGGTGAAAGGTCAAGGGGTATGAATAGAAAGAGGTTGGCCACATGTCATATCTCAGTTGGGGTCAGGCTTAATGATTTTACTTATTAGCATTTACAGATTTTTATAAAACTTGTCTCTACCCTCAAAGTAAGCCTTTTGCCATTTTATAATAATTAAAAAGTCTATAAAGTTTCTACAACAAAATCTCATAACAGATGGTGCCATATACACATTTATTTACTGTATTTACTCACATATAGGACGAGGCGTGACTTTAAAGATCAAAATAAAGAAAATTAGATTTATTAATACAATTCTAATTTTATTTCGTTTAATGACAAGTAAAATATCAAATGAACATAAATGCACACATTGTCCCTCAAAAATTAAAAAATTATTGGCATTTTAAACTTTAAGGAAAAATCTTGTAAAATCAACAACATAATTTGTTCATGTAAAGCTGGGTAATTGGGAACCTTTTTTTTGCCAATTCTTAACAGTCAATTACACTTATGAGTTTCTCTGAATTCTGATTTCCAAATAATCATCTGTTTTCATGTGGGAATGGATTAAAACTTATATCGGGCTCCCACGTGATTTTCGAATTTCAATCTGGAATTCAATTCAAAAGCTTTTCCTATTGCTATTCATCTTTACTCCTGACAATATACAAGAACAATTCAAACAACCCAGATAAAATACTTATGTTTTTATATACAAGAGGGTAAGCATCCGGTAAAAAAATGCAAATACACGGTTCACTAAAATTATTTGCAAAAGGAGGTTGAAGTAATTCAATCAAAAGAAGCTATTGACCTCCTCCTGAAACAGAGAATGGTCAATGACTACTCATTTAATACCAGTCTATTATTAATCAATAATTGAAAAGTGATCCATGTTGGATGGGTTGTGATGGGCATGCACATGATGGAAGTTGTTAACCTTAAACCCTTTGTTGACTGGGGTGCCGATCTGTAGCACCCCCCATTGTTAAAGGGGATGACCAGGGTACCGATTCGTAGGCACCCTGTTAAAAATCAATTTTTATAAAATTTATTAACAGATGTCAGCACTTGACGGCAACCTCTTGTCTGTCTGTTTAACATATTTGTGTCCAGGTGGTGTTTTGTTGACTTAAAAAATGTTAGTTAATGATTTTTTTTCTTACTTTATTTCTTCATGATAATTTTTTATTTCATTTTTAGCATATTAATGCAATAATATTACTATAATAAGTTCATTCAGCTATAATAAGTCAATGTATTATAAATATTCAAGTTGTTACCTTCACTTCTGACATTTTATATATTTTTTATTTTAATCTAAAATATCAGCAAATGTTACATGTATTACTATTGGTGATCATGTGTTTATTATAAAAATTTATATTTTTATTCAATGTCAAGTGAATAAAGTATATTAGTTAATTATATTAGTTGATAACAGAATAGAAGTTTTGATTCCAAACAAATGTTTGATATAATGTGTGATAATTTTGAAACAAAAATTATAGTTTTTTTTAATTTAAATGGGCTTAAAATAAGATTATTGTGAAATTTATATTGTATTATTATTAAATAACATTGAAACTCACCTATATTCTTCTGGGCATACTCCAAATTTCTTTATTAAAAAACATAATTTAGAAGTGGGAATTTCCTGTAAGTAATAATCAAATGACAAAGTGAGAAAAATATTCAGTAATTTCTCAATGTAAAATATAATCTAATTGATTTTACTATGTAAAAAAATTACCTCAGCAATTTCAGTTTGTTTCCATTTCTTAGCATTTGATCCTGAATAAAAATGTTCTAAATTCTCTCTTCTTATATTTTTTCTCTTGCTCTTTAAATCCTTTATAAAATTTTTTATAAATATATTTTATTTTAAAACAATTTATCTTTATAAAATCATCAAATCTATAATTAAATAAATAATATAAGAACAAACCTATTTTAAACTAATTATACTCTACTTTTATATTATGTAAAAGATAAATATTCATAAATTACAGAATTCTAAAATCATTAATTATTAAATATTTTATATTAATTGCATCTATAATACACAGCTTAAGTCATTAATCTAGTAGATAAAGAGTCATCCAGTAATTAAGTATACACTTTTTGAATCAATTTAGATCCTCTCCCTTTCTGTTGTGTACAATCAAGAGCTTTTGACAAATACATTTTATAATTATGTGTACAATTGTTCATGGATTCCCCTCACATTCAAATGATTAAGAAGTTTTGCAAATATTTTCTAATTGATAGTTTATTTGTGTGACTAGTAAATAGGCTTATAAGAACAAATTTATATGCCACTAATACCACTAAAAAGTTCACTAGACAATGCCTCAACCCTTTAACCTACACACACAATTAATGGAGACGCTTAATTTATGTAATGTCTGCAAATGAATATGGAAAAAACTCAATTGAAACAATCTAATATTATACAGAGTTATTTTTAACTAGAATTTTTAGATTGACTATTCATATTATGAATATAAACTATTTCTGTAATAAAATTTAAAATAACTAGTAATTAATAAAATTTTATTAGTACTTATGTTTTAATATATTAATATTTCCAGTTATAACTATAAATAGAAATTTAAATAACTGATAATTTAATGATAATTTCATTAATCTTTTACTGAAAAATTATATAAATATTTGATAATTTAAAGGAAACTGTATGTGTTAAAATTCTAATATTTATAAATACAAAATAAATAAAAAAAATTATCATAATACATGATGTAATTACAGTTCTTTTTTGCTGAAAATGATTATTCAAGTCAAATAATAAAATATGGCCTTTTCCAGAAACTGCTGCAAATCTGTGTCCATATTCTGAAGTTGAAATTGTACGTATCTTGTCATTGTCCAATTGTACTTCAAGTAGATGTTCTGCTGAGTTTGAATCATATATGTGCAAGCATCCATCTTGTCCTATTACTCCTAATATCTAAATATTAATAATTAATTAATTCAAAGAATTAATTAATAAAATAATATTGAATAAATTAAAATTTTGTTTAATTTAAAAGAATTTTCTTCTTCTTTTTATACATTAATCTTTGAATATAAAATCAGTTAATACGTAAAAACATTCATCTAACTTATAATCCTCTAAAGTACAACTGAACTGTTGTTGTTATGATAATTATATATATATTTTTACATTATTTCTGCAGAAATTTGAATTTATAAAAATTATTTAGAATTTACATATAAACTGTAATAAAACTGAAATATTACAGTGTACAATTTATCATATATTCAGTTTAAATGTATTTTATTTAATTCATTAATTCTTAGCATTTCAAAGAAACATTTTAATTAATGTATTTGTGTAATAATAATGAACAGGTAACATAACACCAAGATCTTAATTATGTATCGAATAATGCAATTATATGTATATTAAAATCAGGGGCAAATCCTGACCAAAATTTTTGGGCATGCTGAAAGTTATAATAAGAATAATAGGCCTATCTCTAGTACTAAACAATAGGCAGAAACGTTATTTGGTGTGAATAAAAAAGTATGGACTATTATAAAGCCCATTATATCTATACATGAAATATATTATAATGAAAAAGTATTTAAAATTTATGATAATAATTCAATTTTTGTGGGCCCTTGACACTGGAGGCCCAGGGCGTAAGCCCTATTAGTCTCTATGTAGATCCATCCCTGTACACAATACATGTATGCTGACTGGTTACTGCAAGCTTTCGATACAATCTGGCCCTGTTAAATGCTTCGAATGATGTCATGTGCACACACTTGTTTGCCACAGAAAATCTTCACACAAGCAAGCAATTGAGTTCCTATAAGCATTGCACTGACTTAAAACTGCTAGCCGTAGCTGCCAATGTAAAAGGAAACACAAATGATAAAAGAGTTTACACATTAGAATAAATTATTATTGGCATATTTGTTCTCATATAAAAAAATATATTGACAGTCAAAACTTTCTCTTAAGCATGCAGTGTATGCTAAGCAAGCCTAGAGAATTTGCCTCTGATTGAAATAAACAAGAACTGATACAGAAATCAGACACAATTTCTAATGAAGATCTCAAGTATGATTCTCTTCTTTAATTTTATTTAATTTGATTTTTAAGAGTTTTATCTTGAAATAAGTTTTCTTTAAAAAACAAAATAAAAATTAAATTAAAGAATTTATTTTATTATTTATACTAATAATGGAATTATGTTAACAATTAAAAATTAATTATTTAAATTTTGAAAATAAAATTTTAATTAAATTAAACATACATAATCTGAGTTCTTCCATATTCCAAGTGGCATAAAAGTTACTTGTTTAATTGATTCAATCATTCTTGACACATTTATGATACACACAATCTGTTTGGTATTCATATTCCACAATAATAATTTATCTTTACGATTTCCAGCAGCTAATAAAAATCCATCACTAGATATAAAAAAAGGATTAATTATAATTTTAATAATAAAATTTTTTAATTAGAAAAATTATTTACCTAGATACATCTAATGATTTTATTCCTTTATCAGGATCATCTGTCGAATGAAGTTGTTTTTGAAATCTCAAAGTTGTTGATTCCCATAAAAATAAATTTCCATCTTTAAAAGCAATTGCTATTTCATTTTGAAATGGTATATAAATTGCCTAAAAATGAAAATAAATTCTTAATATAAACTAACCAATATTACACACTTTTTTTCCTTTAAGATATCTAATTTATGATTTAAAATTCATAAATTTTAAACCTAAATTCATTCATTGCTTATATAATAGTATATGGCTGTGTACACACTAGGCGTTTTTAAACGCGTGTTTTAAAGAACCAAGAGTTCTGCATAGGCGTACACACTCAAACGCGTGCTTTTGGTCAAACATGCGTTTATAGATTTTTCTTAAAACATGCATTTTGCGGGTGTCAGCCGAGCACTTTGAGATATATGTGCTGCCATGTTACTGTACATTTGATNTTATAAAAATTATTTAGAATTTACATATAAACTGTAATAAAACTGAAATATTACAGTGTACAATTTATCATATATTCAGTTTAAATGTATTTTATTTAATTCATTAATTCTTAGCATTTCAAAGAAACATTTTAATTAATGTATTTGTGTAATAATAATGAACAGGTAACATAACACTAAGATCTTAATTATGTATCGAATAATGCAATTATATGTATATTAAAATCAGGGGCAAATCCTGACCAAAATTTTTGGGCATGCTGAAAGTTATAATAAGAATAATAGGCCTATCTCTAGTACTAAACAATAGGCAGAAACGTTATTTGGTGTGAATAAAAAAGTATGGACTATTATAAAGCCCATTATATCTATACATGAAATATATTATAATGAAAAAGTATTTAAAATTTATGATAATAATTCAATTTTTGTGGGCCCTTGACACTGGAGGCCCAGGGCGTAAGCCCTATTAGTCTCTATGTAGATCCATCCCTGTACACAATACATGTATGCTGACTGGTTACTGCAAGCTTTCGATACAATCTGGCCCTGTTAAATGCTTCGAATGATGTCATGTGCACACACTTGTTTGCCACAGAAAATCTTCACACAAGCAAGCAATTGAGTTCCTATAAGCATTGCACTGACTTAAAACTGCTAGCCGTAGCTGCCAATGTAAAAGGAAACACAAATGATAAAAGAGTTTACACATTAGAATAAATTATTATTGGCATATTTGTTCTCATATAAAAAAATATATTGACAGTCAAAACTTTCTCTTAAGCATGCAGTGTATGCTAAGCAAGCCTAGAGAATTTGCCTCTGATTGAAATAAACAAGAACTGATACAGAAATCAGACACAATTTCTAATGAAGATCTCAAGTATGATTCTCTTCTTTAATTTTATTTAATTTGATTTTTAAGAGTTTTATCTTGAAATAAGTTTTCTTTAAAAAACAAAATAAAAATTAAATTAAAGAATTTATTTTATTATTTATACTAATAATGGAATTATGTTAACAATTAAAAATTAATTATTTAAATTTTGAAAATAAAATTTTAATTAAATTAAACATACATAATCTGAGTTCTTCCATATTCCAAGTGGCATAAAAGTTACTTGTTTAATTGATTCAATCATTCTTGACACATTTATGATACACACAATCTGTTTGGTATTCATATTCCACAATAATAATTTATCTTTACGATTTCCAGCAGCTAATAAAAATCCATCACTAGATATAAAAAAAGGATTAATTATAATTTTAATAATAAAATTTTTTAATTAGAAAAATTATTTACCTAGATACATCTAATGATTTTATTCCTTTATCAGGATCATCTGTCGAATGAAGTTGTTTTTGAAATCTCAAAGTTGTTGATTCCCATAAAAATAAATTTCCATCTTTAAAAGCAATTGCTATTTCATTTTGAAATGGTATATAAATTGCCTAAAAATGAAAATAAATTCTTAATATAAACTAACCAATATTACACACTTTTTTTCCTTTAAGATATCTAATTTATGATTTAAAATTCATAAATTTTAAACCTAAATTCATTCATTGCTTATATAATAGTATATGGCTGTGTACACACTAGGCGTTTTTAAACGCGTGTTTTAAAGAACCAAGAGTTCTGCATAGGCGTACACACTCAAANTTATTTGGTGTGAATAAAAAAGTATGGACTATTATAAAGCCCATTATATCTATACATGAAATATATTATAATGAAAAAGTATTTAAAATTTATGATAATAATTCAATTTTTGTGGGCCCTTGACACTGGAGGCCCAGGGCGTAAGCCCTATTAGTCTCTATGTAGATCCATCCCTGTACACAATACATGTATGCTGACTGGTTACTGCAAGCTTTCGATACAATCTGGCCCTGTTAAATGCTTCGAATGATGTCATGTGCACACACTTGTTTGCCACAGAAAATCTTCACACAAGCAAGCAATTGAGTTCCTATAAGCATTGCACTGACTTAAAACTGCTAGCCGTAGCTGCCAATGTAAAAGGAAACACAAATGATAAAAGAGTTTACACATTAGAATAAATTATTATTGGCATATTTGTTCTCATATAAAAAAATATATTGACAGTCAAAACTTTCTCTTAAGCATGCAGTGTATGCTAAGCAAGCCTAGAGAATTTGCCTCTGATTGAAATAAACAAGAACTGATACAGAAATCAGACACAATTTCTAATGAAGATCTCAAGTATGATTCTCTTCTTTAATTTTATTTAATTTGATTTTTAAGAGTTTTATCTTGAAATAAGTTTTCTTTAAAAAACAAAATAAAAATTAAATTAAAGAATTTATTTTATTATTTATACTAATAATGGAATTATGTTAACAATTAAAAATTAATTATTTAAATTTTGAAAATAAAATTTTAATTAAATTAAACATACATAATCTGAGTTCTTCCATATTCCAAGTGGCATAAAAGTTACTTGTTTAATTGATTCAATCATTCTTGACACATTTATGATACACACAATCTGTTTGGTATTCATATTCCACAATAATAATTTATCTTTACGATTTCCAGCAGCTAATAAAAATCCATCACTAGATATAAAAAAAGGATTAATTATAATTTTAATAATAAAATTTTTTAATTAGAAAAATTATTTACCTAGATACATCTAATGATTTTATTCCTTTATCAGGATCATCTGTCGAATGAAGTTGTTTTTGAAATCTCAAAGTTGTTGATTCCCATAAAAATAAATTTCCATCTTTAAAAGCAATTGCTATTTCATTTTGAAATGGTATATAAATTGCCTAAAAATGAAAATAAATTCTTAATATAAACTAACCAATATTACACACTTTTTTTCCTTTAAGATATCTAATTTATGATTTAAAATTCATAAATTTTAAACCTAAATTCATTCATTGCTTATATAATAGTATATGGCTGTGTACACACTAGGCGTTTTTAAACGCGTGTTTTAAAGAACCAAGAGTTCTGCATAGGCGTACACACTCAAACGCGTGCTTTTGGTCAAACATGCGTTTATAGATTTTTCTTAAAACATGCATTTTGCGGGTGTCAGCCGAGCACTTTGAGATATATGTGCTGCCATGTTACTGTACATTTGATCACGCGTTTTCGGGTAGAGTGGACGTACGTTGGCCGAAATGGAGAATGATCATTTCGATACTGATCTATTTATTGATGAAATCTAAAAGAGACCAACCATTGTCAAAGGATTTTATAGATATTTTAAAAGAATTAAAAAACTTGGGTTTATTTTGTCTTAGTTTTGGATACAACGTCGCAAACATTCCATGTGTCAGTCTATCTCGTAATATTGGGTGCACCCAAAATTCTCTTTGCCTCTGCCGTCGTCTTTTATAGCGACGATGGAGGAGGCACACACAAGCAATTACTTTCACGTCCATTTCCAAACTGAGCCAGTGCGTATGCTCCAGTAAACGGTCGTCTAATGCCGAGCTAACGCGCGTTTAATGTAACACAAAACGCCTAGTGTGTACACAGCCTATATATCAGCATTTCTCAAACTATGGGTTGCAACCCAATATTGAGTCATGTGAAAATTTTAATGGGTTGTGAAATGATACTACCTTCTACAGAAATACTCGTAATACTATTACCGAAACATTCTCTAACAACTAGGAACAATAGATGCAAAACCTGAAAAATTTTTTAACTACTTTTTTCCCTTATAATTTTTATTGTCATTTAGTAATAAAATTAAGATTATAGAATAGGTGTATAAGAAATTGATTTCTCTTTTCTATTTTGAATAGCATCAAAATAAATATTTTATGTAATGTCACATTCATAAAGCAATTTAAGTCACAACAATTTTGAAAATATTTCCTTGTTTAATCAAACTTTTAGGTTTATTGTCATACATAACAGTAGATTATAAAAATAACGGTTGAATTTTGGCACAAGTGTATCAATAAATAATTTTTAAAGAATTATTTTTGTGTATATACAAAATAAAAGGAACAAAATCTTGTTATAATAGGAAAAGTACATTTTAAAAAAAGGATTCATTAAGTTTATTAAAAGAAGCTTGTAATATTTTTCAAAGTAAAATAGACTCCTGAATAATTTTGAAATGATCTGTTTTATTTACAATCATCAGTCTTACATTTTTTAATAGTTAAATTTCAATAATAAAAAGTGAAATTGAGGCAGTGGCGGCCTTAGGGGGTGGCGAGCAGGGCAATCGCCCGGGGCCTCGCTCTTGGAGGGGCCTCGCGCAACAACCAAGTAGAAAAAAGTTGATATTTAAAACTTTTTATTTTATCCTTGGCTATTAGTTATAACAATAAAATAAATTTAATTTATAGTACAGTATATATTAATATTAATAAGTGCCTACTATTTCAATTCACATATTTTGCACAAAGGACAAGGGCCTCGCAAAGATCTGCCGCCCAGAGCCTCGCAATGGATAAGACCACCGCTGAATTGAGGTAAGTTAACTTACAAATTGAAACTGGCCTGAACCGCTCTTAATAGAAATTTACTCGACATTTCACACACAGAAGTTATTATCAATAATTTATTTCATTATATAATATACAGTGATTCCAGTTTACCAGACTTTTTAAAAATTTTTTATTATAAACATTTGGGTAATAGAACCATTAAAAACAAATATATTGGGTTACACAAGCAATAAGTTTGAAAAATGCTGGCATATATAATAAATACTTTTTTTTTAAAGATTTTTTGCCCAGTGGGCATTAAACAAAGGCCTTTTTTTCAGGCCCATTGCAGTTTCAGCCTGGCCCACAATGGTGCAGCTAGTGACAAGGGATGGGACCAACATATCTAGAATGACCCAACCCCAGAAAAATTCCTTGGGTTTTTCAACTGCCCAGATTTCATCCTGGGTCTTCCAGAGTGGTGAGCTGATACCTTAACTGTCTCAGCCATCCAGCCAGCACATAATAAATACTATAATTCATATAATTTATATTTTACTTTTAAAAAATAAATTATACAAATAAAAATAAACTAATAATTAAAAGTTTTAGATAAATCTTTATAAATATCATTCACTTCATATCTAATCTTTAATATTTTTAAAAAATTTTGATTATGAAAAAATCAGAGAATAAAATTACTTGATTAATTATAATTCATTCTAAATTTTGTGTACTCTTAAACTGGCTAATATTACAAAATCAGGCAGTTTAGTATTTGAATGCATTGTATGATAAGAAACAAATGTCATTTTTATAATTTATATTTGAATACCTACTAATTTATATTATTAGATATGATAATAAATCAAATTTTTCAATAATTTTATTTACATATTTTCAGTGCCTCTAATGTTTGTTAAAAATTAAAATTTATTTCATCTCCAAGAAATTGAGATATAAGAAATTACTATAAAACTCTAAGTCATCATTTTTTCTTAATATATTCATAGATCTATAATTTGTATATGAATTGTTATTACTATAAGTAATTTAAATTCCATTTGCTTGAGTATTAATTTTGAATTTGTTCTAATTTAGAATAATGCAGCATAGACTTTACAAATTAGAACAAATTCAAAATTAATATTTTGAACAGGATGGTTAGGTTTTAACCACAAACATGTTTTACTAATTAATAAAAGGTTGGCTTCCAACATTAACAGTGATTTATTTATTGATTTACAAAGATACTGTCAAGCTTTATACCTTTTTTAACAAGCAGGTTCGGATAGTAAATTCTGATGGCAGATTAATTATTTCAAGGTCATCCAAATACAGTAATCTCTAGACTGAACAGACAAATTAGGGTAATGGGGTGTCTGCTATTGCCAAAAGTCTGTTAAATCAATTGTGTTTTAAAAATATATTTTTTCAATAATAAACTTAAAATCTGCAAGATGTATTAAAATGTTATTATGGTATATAAATATACATAAAATATTATTATAATGTACATTGAGTAATTTACTTATTGCCTCATTATTCCAACTTTTTAGAATATTCTTTATTTGTGAATAAAAATGTTTTAAACTTTTATATTGGATAAACTTTTTGTCTGTTAGAGTCTGTTAAGCCAGAATCTTTATTTATTTATTAATACATATGATGTCACAAGAACAATAATTGCTGCCCCAGAATACTCTGTTAAATTGAGGGTTTACTGTGTTCACGTAGTTGTTTTAGTTTTGTTGGATATTTTTTCCTTTATCTCTATTTTCAATACTTTTCAATTTTTTGGTTTTACTTATTAAATTTTATAAATTATTTCATCAGATTAAAATTCTTTATTTCAAATATCTCAGNCAAAAGTCCTTTAAATCAAGCATGTTTTAAAAACTTATATTAATAACAAACTTATAATGCACAACATGCATTAAAATGTTGTTATAATGTATGAGTATACATAAAATATTATTATAATGTACATTGAGTAATTTACTTATTGCCTCATTGTTCCAACTTTTTAGAATATTCTTTATTTGTGAATAAAAATGTTTTAAACTTTTATATTGGATAAACTTTTTGTCTGTTAGAGTCTGTTAAGCCAGAATCTTTATTTATTTATTAATACATATGATGTCACAAGAACAATAATTGCTGCCCCAGAATACTCTGTTAAATTGAGGGTTTACTGTGTTCACGTAGTTGTTTTAGTTTTGTTGGATATTTTTTCCTTTATCTCTATTTTCAATACTTTTCAATTTTTTGGTTTTACTTATTAAATTTTATAAATTATTTCATCAGATTAAAATTCTTTATTTCAAATATCTTAGGATATTTCTTTTGTTTTCTTAAAATATTGTGTAATAAGTACTTTGCAGTTTACTATGATTTATTATAAGATATTAGATAGATTAAAAATTATGGATAATACTATATGTTAATTTTGATTAATGTTTATAACAATGATAAAAATGCATTAATTTCAAAATACAATGAATTACAGATTGTTGTAAGTTTTTGTTGTAACAGATTTGTGTTACAATATCTGAAAAATGAGTGCTGTCTTCTAGTTTTGGTACGCTCCTTCTCCTAAATGTGACAAGTCCTTAAATGAAGTAAGGTTCTCATAAACATTCTTTTAGAATACTTAAAATAAGGACAAGAAGCAATGATCATAATGAATTAAATAATTCTTTTAGTTTCAGATCTAGTATAAATGTTTTATTTACAAATTGTATCGCGTTTTTCTATTTTTCTAATATTCTTCAAAAGAATTTATATCATTCAATAATCAACAATTATTAATTTTAATAATAATAAAAAAAAAGTATGATTAAACTTTTCATTCTTTTACAATTGTGCCATTTGAAGTGCAAGATCAGTTAAGCCACAAAAATTTAACAATGAATAATTTTACTAAAAGCTCAGAAATATTAAACATTTCTTAATGAAACCTAAAAATATTGCAATAAATAATCAGGAAAATAAAATTCGTCTTTTGTTCTGATAATTTCCTAGAAAAAAAAATTAATTTTTTAAAATTAAACTGAATATGCACATTGTGATTTGTACTGGAAATATCTGAATGAAGTTTGATTTTTAAATTTAAAGATACAGTATTTTATAGTAAATTTTTTTACTCGTTTTGTAGTCTTATTTATACTGTTTATGTTCTCAGTTTTTGGATTAGAATTATTTTTAATTGAATGTACAATTTGGAAATTTCTTGATAGATTTTAAAAAAATGGTTATAACTTTTAATGTGAATACATTTAAAACTAAATTTTTAAACAAAAATTTATGAAAGTCGATGTCTTTTCATAATTCATTAATAAATTAGGATAATAGAAAATTATAATTAAAAAATGAATTCTTAAAATTTGAATAATTAAAACAAAACATGAAAAGTTTACAAAATTTTCAAAGCACTTACTTTGCATATTTCCTTTCTGCTCACAATTAAATGATGTAAAGCTGTATACGTTTTTAAATCCCATAAAACAGCTAGATCGACTGAACTACTAAGGCATCGTTGTCCTTTGTCATCAACAGAAATATAGTTAATTGATGTTTTATGGTTCCTCATGACTGAAATCACCTTTTTAGTTTCTAAGAAGTAACATTATAAATATATATTACTGTATATAAAAAAGCTTCTTGCCTGTATTACTAATTTACAAAAAACATAGTTAATTAGAACCACTATATTACTAGTTTATATTAATTTATTGTAAAATAATTGAAAATTTTTAGATGACTTTTAAAAAATTCACACAAAATATTTTTAGAAATCACATACTAGAATTAAATAAATAAAGGCTGTATCTAGCATCAGTTATTGCGACAAGAATATCTTTATCTTCTATTTCTGTAAATGCTATTGCAGAACAACAATGACAAAGTTGATAAATTAACCAAAATCTAAAAATAAAAACAAAAATAAAGTTAGAAATATCATTTCATCAATCAAAATATGAGCTGTAAATTATTGATATTTACCGATTTCTTTCAATATCAAAAGCGTAAATGCATCCACTTTGATCACCAGCAATAACATTATTACCTTGTTTATCAATAGATACTTGAGTAAATAACGTTCCTCTGATAGGATACTTTATTTTATAATGTGGTTCATTATATATGTCTAATATTAACCTAAGAGAATTGAATTATTAGATGTGTTAATAAATCATATTTGTAAGAAAATTATTTCATATTATAAATCATGTTACGTCATGATCAATTTTATTGTATTAATAAAATGAAAAAATAATTAAATATATTAAAGTATAAAAGAAGTGAAAATTACAAACTTAGAATCAACCATTAATTATGTGTACAATTTAAGGCAGGGGACGGTTGTAAGTGCATCATTGTATACAGTCGGGAGGGAAGGAGTCGAGGCATTATCTACATGGACTTTGGTATTAATGGTATATGAATTCATTCTTATAAGCCTACTCACTAGTCATGTGAATAACCATCAGTTATAAAATCAATAAAGTTCTTATAAGAACTTTATTGATTTTATAACTGATGTTTCTTATAAGTTCTTCAATGTCAGAGGGGTCCATGAACTATTGTACTGTACAGTACTGTACATGTAATTAGAATTTAGGAAGGTTTGCCAAAAATACATTATAGTATACAGCAAGGAGGGAGAGGATCAAAGGGGCTCGAAAACTGTACATGTAATTAATGGACGATCCTTTATTTAAATTACTTATTCATTTTTTACTACTAAAATAATATATTTTTATGGTGTCAAGTACTTAATGTACATGTACTGTACTTACCCAGTATTACTTGTAATAGACTTTTCTTGCCATAAATTACCATATTCTTTATGAAATATATTTAGATGATATGTTTCCATTACACTATAATATATTCCAAAAAATTATTAAGTACTAATAAAATTCCTTTTATTTAAAATTCAGTTTATTTTCAGTTCCTTTATTTAAAAAAAAATAAATAAATTTTAATAAAACAAAGCAATTAAAAATTTTGAAATACTTTTAAACAGACTTTAAATTTAAAATATTGTTATTTGTACTTTAATTATTTGACTGATTTAAGCTATTTTTGAATTTATGAAAATATTATATCATAATTATTTACATTAATCATATTTAAAATTACAGATACTAGTAAAACAAGTACTAAAAAGTAAAATACTGCTTACTTAAAATAAATGTATATATATTAAATATCATTAGACATTGGCAGTAGTTAATTACTAATGTAATTAAACTACATAGTTAATTACTGTACTAGGTCCAAATACTGTTCTGATATAGTTAAATAGTAGTTTAATTACTGTCGGGATGGAAAAATCGTCTGGCACTCAGTTTTCCCGCCTTTTTATGAACGACCGTTGTCGCCATAGAAACGGCGATCAGACCATTTTGAAGACTCGACCGCTCATTGGTTAAAAGACATCAGACCATCGGCGGACGTCTTATAGAGCTGGTAAATGCTGATTGGTGGAATCCAATGCTGTTTCAATCCTATAAAAGCATTG